GGATATCATTGCTGCTCCAATTCGTATTGTCCATCTTCTTTTTGATGCAGGGGTAAGTTGTAGGGGACATTGAGAAAAGTCTTTCATGATAATCATATGCTTTGTGGCATCAATGCAAATGTTCACACACACAAAAATGCTCATATGGATGCATTTTGAAACTGAGATTTTAGGGACTGCATGTTGTATGAATTCTTTGTTCAAAGTTTTGTTGCTATAGATATTGATTCATGGTTTAGATCCTTCTCTTTCCCCAACCCCTTTAATCTTAACATTTCAATTTGTAGATTTTATCTGCAGTTGACATAGCGATTGCTTAGACATAAGTGCTATAAGAGAGTAAATGAAGCACCAGATGTAATTGGACATACTTAAGTGTGTTTGTGTATATATATAAATATTCTATGTAGGTTCATTAACAAATTTAATGACTCAAAAGTGGATGCAAGGAATGAGATTGGAAAGAATGAAATGCAACAAGAAAATCATCCCTGAAATTTTACTTTTCTGGACAAATTTCTGATCCAGAATGAGTTGAAAAAAATTACTGATGCTGTCTACTAGTGCTACTGAGCGGTCCTGGCAGCAGAGTTGCTATGTTGTTTTTGAATAGATAATCCTTATGTTAATTTTACTTTTCATTCCATAGCATGGAATTTATGGCTTGGAAAAATCACTTGTTTGTATTTTTTTTTCTTAATTAGTGTCATTTTCATCTAGAGCATCCATTCTTATATAAGCAATAATTTATCTCAGATAAATATTTGGTTAACATATTTGTATTTTACATCAGGATGTGAAGGGTCCTCAGACTATTGCTTTCAATCTACCAAATGATGAACGTATAGTAAATGATCGAGGAACAGCAATGGTTATCCTGAAGAATGTTTCTGAAGCAAAGTACAATTTTTTCCTTAAAGTTTCTATGATCCTTGTTTAAGTTGCTCCAATGTGCTAATCTGCTGTTGCCTACATTTCCATAATTCTTTATCATTGTTAGATTTTTCCATCTTAACCAGGTTCAAACAGATTCTTCAGCCCGTAGCTGATGCATGTATTGCAATGGAACAACATGATCTCGTAGACTTTGAGTCTTTCTTCACTTATGCAATCTGCCATGAGTGCTGCCATGGCATTGGGCCTCATACCATAACTCTTCCCGATGGCCAAAAGTCTACCATTAGATTGGTTAGTTATAATGTTGCCTTTTTATTTATGTTTTATTTTATCTGTTTCTAAAATGTGTATCTCTAGCAACTTCATTACATAGGCAAAAAATTCTAGCTATTTAATCATATCAATCAGACCAGTTATTGCTAAATTTCAACCATCCAGCTTACTCTAGCTAGTAGATCCATTTATATGAGCATACTTTGTATTCCACTTACCATTGGGATGACAATGGTTAGAAAATACTAAGTTAACGACCAAGGTTAGATATTTTCTAAATACCAATAATGTCTACATACCTTAAGCTTCTTTATGTTAATACTATTGGCTTCGAGAAACATTTGGGTAAATATAACAGAAGGTTTTATGTAAATGAAGGTTCATATGATATTAGAAAATGGGGAAAAAAAAAAGGAAAGTAGTATAATCGCAACATACAGGTGTCTGGAATATTTGTGATTGAAGAGCAGCTCCAATGGATTTTAGGTTCAGTTATTTTGTATGGTTTTCTTATTTATTCAGGAGTCAGGAATAGGGTTACAAGCCTTCTAACCATCCATACTTTTTACTGAGATTTCCAAACTTTAAACTTAATTATTGGAATTGGAATTCGGAAATACTCTGGCTCTCTCTCCTCTCCTTTTTCTCTCTTCCATCTCCATTCTCTCTCTTTGTGGTGCATCAATCTGTCTATTGACTTTGCCCTTTGAAGTTTTCGCTTTGGAGTTTCTGCAAGTTATTTTCATTAACATAAATGTTATATTCTAATTATTTATGGTGTACAATGGTTTCTCTTTTACTGTTTCTTACAGGAGCTGCAAGATTTACACTCGGCTTTGGAAGAAGCAAAAGCTGACATCGTAGGTCTTTGGGCACTGAAATTCTTAATCTGAAAGGTTGGTAACTAAGTCACGTTTTAATATTTTCATTTTGATGATATCATTGTTTGTGACTACCAAAGCATAGATGATACTTGCATGTTAGCTGATGCAGTTGGCAATTTCCTTTTTTCTTTCTTCAAGTGCTTAATCTTTTGGATTAGGATTTTAGTTCTTTGATGCAATTTACTAGTATCTTCAACCTCATAATTTTTGCTGGTTTTTTTTTTTTTCAAGAATAAGCAATTCAAAATTTTCAACTGCTACCAAACACTTCAAATTTATAATCTACCCAACAGCTAACCCCCTTCCAAAAAGAAAGTTTTTCAAGTTGACTCAAGATTGGAAGCTACGCTTAAAGATTAGAGGCCATAGATTGTGGAATTCTCAAATTTGTATGGTCCTATAAGGATTAGTTTGAGGTTTCTTGAAAGTCAGCCAAAAGGTTCTTTAGTATTAGCTAATGAAGTAGCTGCTTTGAGTAAGACTTAACATATTTATTCGTAAGTCTAACAATTCATTGAGACAAACAAAACTGTATCCCCTGCGCAGCCCACGAATATTCTTTTTAACTAAAAATCTTTGGTTCAATTTCATTACACCCCATAAAGTTTTAATTGCAGCAATGTCTCAAATTTAAAAACAGAATTGGATCCCTGCTGCCTCCACAAATTTTGACATGCAAAGTTGAAAGAATGTTTGCACATCACTCAGCCATTCAATTATATTTTTTATTTTTTTATTATGTTGAACTATCCTTAAGCAATAGGGCATAACTGCGAAAAGAATTTTGAAAATTCATTGTCATTGTCCCAATCACCCTATGAAACCATGGTCTGCTTCAACATCACAACAGCATGTCTGTAATTTCTGTAATAACAGATCTTAACATAAGTAGTCACGGGTGTTTTCATCAAGCTTAAGTCTCAAACTCCCAATAGGGGACACAGGGAATCAAACCTTCTAACTTGAACCTTGTATTGTCATAAAGGAATCTGGAAGGGAAGACTGTGTATGTAATCCATATTGTATGAATAATAAGTTACAGACTTGTGCAATAGCTGTCTTTCTATGTGAACATTTTGTACTTTATGGAAACTGATATTATATAGAAGGCTTATCCATAGTCTCTTCCTCTGTCTGTTTTGACATTTTGGGGCAGCATTTACTTCCAAATACTTTGGATAAGTCCATGTATGTTTCATTCCTTGTGGGATGCTTTTGCTCAGTACGATTTGGCTTAAAGGAAGCCCATGGGTAAGCAAACTATTCACTGTCCATTGGCAAAATGTTTTTGTTACAGTTACTGACCATTCTAGATTTACTGAATAATGTTCAGAAAAGGACAGGCATTACAATTTAACTGGTTTTTGGAAAAGGAAGCCTTTATTCAGCATCCCGATGGGACATTTTCTGTTAATTTTGACAAGGTAAAGCATGTGCAGATTTTCTCTTAAATAAATTTGTTTAACCAAAACACTTCCACCTAAAATGTTGTTTTCCTTTCAAAGGTTGAAGAAGCAGTTGAAAGCTTGAGTAGGACAATACTTACTATACAGGCAAAGGGTGACAAAGAAGGTGCAAGTTTACTTCTACAGAAATACTGCATAATGACACAGCCATTGAAAGTTGCATTGCAAAAGTTGGAAAGCATTCATGTATGTCCTGCAACATTCTACGCTACATTTATTGATAAATACTAGCAACTGGATGACAACTAATTTAGTGCAAAAATTAAGGCTATGTGAGAATATTTTTAGGGAGAAAAGGGGATAGATGTGTTCTCTAGATGCACATGTGTTTGCAAAAAATTGATACTAAGCCTACCTTACCAGTGCCTTAACCCTAATTGGTATAAGAGATGGAAAATGGAAAAAGAAAAGTGAAGGACATAACTTGAGATCTTGAGATACTACCAATGTGGTGTCATTGTATGTTAAAATAAATTATATAAAAGCAGCATTTACCCTGATTCTGTAATACTTACAGTGATCCTTTCTCTTTCTCCTGAATAGTTCTGTAAACAGGAAGCAGCATCTACATGCCCACATCATACCCTCTAGGGCTTTGCTCTTAAATTTAGCTGGTCACCTTTTAACCAAAATCTTTAATTGCTATATAAAAGGTGAAATATTGCAGTAAAATTGATGCCAATTGCGTTCTAACCTCATCTTATCCAGCATATTATGCTTATAATGCCTCATCTAAAAATTTGCCTCAGGTGCCAATGTTTCTGTAGGTTCATATGTGCAATTGGAAAGAACCTATATTTTGTAATATAAGTAGTAAAATTTGGAAGGTTGAAGATGTCGCTTAAATGATTCTGTTTGGTTGGTGAAATAAAATTAACTTGACAATCTGTGTCTTCCAATGAATGATTATGATAGAAATATTGGATGGAACTTGGAAGGGCCTATTTCTAGTATTTTGCTAATATTCCTTTGCTTCCGCATATCTTTTAGGTGCCCGTGGATATAGCTCCTACATTTCCTCTAGCCAAAGCTTTGTTGGAATGAAGATTGCTATCATGTACTTTACCATGACCAGAAATAGCCTTGCTGCTTATGATTAAGATTACAATCACAACATAATGCTTTTGAGCAATAGCCTCTTTGCTAGATTAAACAAATTGTTGAAATATTGGGTGAATCATCCCTTTCATAAAACATAGTTTCTTATCACTTGTTTTAGTGTTGCGATAAGTTTGATGAAGTTCCTTGTTCAAACGTTCAGGAAACATATGTGAATAATGAGGCGCCATTATTAAAGAGTGAATAAATTCGTCTCTTCTCAAATCCTTAACCGTACTGAAATTCCTGTAGTTTCTCATATCAATCAGGGATGAAAATGGAACACAATGTCGATTTTCAGGGACGGATCATTTAAGCTGAAATATGGAACTTATCTGCCGCACTCCTGGTGACTACCAATCTAATTCAGGCAACAGCAAACTCCAGTAAACCACTGTTAACCTTTTCAATACGATTGATCGAGATCGATCCATTATTACACTTACAAGTATTATCTCCTACACAACTTTTAACTCTTTGAGCCATGCTGTATGCAGGGGGCATGGATCTGGTTTCCCCTCTGCAATTGCCTTCTCAGAGATTGAGTAGAACCATCCATTCCTCCACTTGAACTGTATGAATAAAGGAAACTCAGCAAGAAACAATTATACCAGGTTATAATCTTCATAAAAAAAAAAAAATTCCATATGCAAAATTTACCTCTTTAACTGCTGTTGGAAACTGGACCACAGCTCGTGAGTAAGCACATAACCTATCCTCCATAGCTTCTTCAAATGTTATGCCTTTCTCCGCAGCAGCAGCACATGCAAGTTCTGCAATGAGGCTTGACACCTGAAAACATAGATTTTACTTCATGTGATTGGCAGATACATAACGGCGACAGCATTGTTTCAAAGCTGAGGGATAGGAAGAACAATTATTTTAACAATGTTTGCCTATTGTATACACCTACGAGCCCTAGATTTTCCAGTTTTACAATAACAGAAATGATATTATTTTAATTTGATTTTAATTCCGACTTTAGGAAGACAATTTGCAATAATGTGCACTAAACCAAACTATGAGGCTTCAAATATATACTATTGACAAGAGAGGTCCACCTCAGATCGGTATTCCTTCTCTACAATGCCTACAGTGGCCCCAGGATGACGTGCTCCAACGAGCATGAATGCTGAAATCCATATCAGCTTCTCCAACATCTGCTTCTGAAATGCTTCTTTGTCAAGAACCTGGTCACACAAACGATATATATTCGGTTAAATAAAATAACCAAAGAAGGCACTTAAGGCTTCTTCTCAATATGCAATTAGGTCCTCTAACTTTTATATGCACCCATGTGATCCCTAAACCTACAACTTTGTACCAGTTCAATCTACTAATTATTAACACCATATCATTCACCATAACATGCTTAAATAATACATGCTTCAAAAAGAGGAAAATATGATTATTTTCAAATATTCAACGTGAGGCATCTCAAATAATACATGTCGATTTTAGCCATGTGGCTGCTAACATATTTCATATTTAGCCAGATAGAAAGATTTATAGAGCTAAGGGAGGGTAAAATCCTGGATGGAACATTGGAGCAGAGTCCCAAGTATTTGATTGAACCAATTTTCCCCAATTAAAAGGATCACATTCAACCAAATAAAAGTTTGATCTTAGACTTGCATATCAAGCAATGGTTCATCAGCCATCGATGCACCTTTTGAAGTAAAACAGTGAAAATGTTTCTTTCACCTTGCAAGACAGGCCTCCAGCAAGCAATCTAGTAGCTATAGCTGATGCCCATTTCCCATATGCTGCTGTTAGGCCTTCAGGATTTGTGTCAGTCTTCCCATCAACAGGAGGTTCTCCAAGCTTTGATACAGCAAAATATGCCAGCACCTGGTCTGCATCATTAAGACCTTTACTTTGAAGCCATGGCTCGAGCATACCATTCTGGAAAAAAACCAAATCTGCTAGATTGTCAACACCCATTGGATGATTAAATCATTTTCCGAAAGCAATTGAATCAACAAAGTTGCAGCAAATAAAGTGGAAGTCTATAAGAACAAGTAGACATATTATATTCAAGTAATTTGAAAAGGATGAAGGAAACAATAAAAGAAACTTCCCACAAAATAATTCATCATGATCAAATCATTTCAATCATATCCAAATCAAGTACGAATAAAAAAAGTAATTGAGCTATGAAATATGAAGTCACTATTACGCTCCAAGTTTAAGTAACACAATAAACAGTGAGAATCCAGCAGAAATTCTTGATAACAAGCTAGAAAACAGGCATGCTAAGCATGACTGTAACAAATCTGAATCTCACCAATGAAAATAGACTCATCAACATCTATTGGAAAATTTAATTGAAATACAAACAAGGAACAAAGCATTATTAAACTTCCACATAAAAGCTCCAAACTTCATTGAATCATTAAGCTGTTTAAAGAATAAAAAACTGGACTTTCTTCACAATTAATCATGGAACTCAACAAATTAAACAAAAAACACACTAAAAGATCGATCCTTTTTTTAAATTAAACCAAAAAGGAAAAGAGAGGGTATGATCAGGTGGTGGTACCGTTCCAACGAGACTTGGGAGTGGCCTCAAGCACAGCCTCGAGATCATCATTCCTAGTACAAACCAAAATGGGACCTTCAAAATCAAGCGGCACAGCTTCACCTCTCTTCACCAGAAAATCATCTCCCTTCCCCATATCTTGCAACGCCTTTCCCACTCTTCCACCGCCAACAATCACTGCTGGCACCACCTTGGCAGCAGTCGTAGCTGGAGCTGCGGCCATAACAACGGATCTTGACTTCTTTGGTTTAAAAATGAGTGTGGTACTGAAAAGAGTGAGGTTTGGCGAAATGGGTTTGGGAGAATGGGTCAAAAGGAGAGAGGAGCTAGAGAGTGTGGCCATGACGATGGTTTGGTTTGAAGATGGGCTTTGAAGGCATGGTTGCTTTGCGTTTATGGTTTATCGAGCGGTAAGTTACAAGAAAGAAGGGAGGTGACAGCCACTCAATTCTTTGGTGGCCTAGCCTTATCAGCTTCTAATTCTATCCAGAGGAGCACGAGATAGAGAAGTCCCAAACAAAAAAAGTAGGTTATTACTTAAATAAAATCATGAAATTACTACATTTTTAAAAATAAAATTTGCAAAATGTTGAGTTTTTTTTTTTTTTTTTTAATAAAAAAATCAACAAAAGATAAATATAATGAGAGAAAGAGAGTAATAAATTTGTTGTATATGACTTAAAACTGTTATGTTTATATATAACTATTTAAATAAATACAAAAAGGTATAATATAAATATATATTATGATTTTTTATTAATAATTAAATGAACTTTCCTAAAAGGGATATTTTAATAACATAAATATATATTTATTACAGGTATAATTATTTTATGATATAAATTATATCATTTATAAATAATTATTAATTTAAATATACATAATACAAATATGTAATAAATTTAGTTAATAATCTCATAATTTTTATTATTATAATATTTTTTATAATAAAAATAATCTTATGCAAAACAAGACAACACATTACTAAATCATAATTGATGACGACAAATAATTTCTGAATAAATTTAATAAATAATTATAAAATAATATTTAAAAATTTATTAATTAAATGAATATATTATGAATTTAATAAAATTGGTTTATAGTAATTCATTTGTATTCGATAATGTAAATAATAAAGCATTTAACAAATAATTTGAAAATATACTATTTTTTTATCATTTATTAAATTTAATAATTCATTGCGAATAATAGTTTAATATTCTTTACTTAAACAAGAAATCATAAATATAACAAAATTAATTAATATTAAATTCGTTTACACTTCTAAAAAATCTTGAGGCTTGAGCAAGGTTTTTTAGCGTTTCAGTTCAAATGAAAATTTATAATATAACAAAGGCAAAGAAAGTGTCTCAAGGTATCTGGCAAAAAAATAAAAGTTTCTAGCTTGTATTTGAAGTTTCAAACCATTTTCCCGCTTCTCGTACATGTAAAGGAGAACCAATTATAAATAAAAACAGTCAAAATCTCTAAATTTTTTGGTTTCTCAATTTCCCACGCACGAACGACAATAAAGCGTTGAATAGTTACCGTTAATCTTTACCGAACACAGTCATCTCACACATTTCCCTATACCCTTTCAAATTCGAAACTTTCTTTTTTCCATTTCCTTTCTTTTTCTGCTATTCCATTCTGATTTTACCACCTCTACAACCAAAGTCCCACCAAATCCCTGATTTTGCCACGTGGATTCAACCTCGCATTAAATCTGACTTGCGGAGTAGTTGGCACCTAGAGACATTCAAAATCTAGTAAGCCTAAAAAAACTCGAAAACAAAACCATCATTTCTGAAACAAATGACTGGTTTTCAAGAAATCTAAGCAAAACCCAGAACTCTAAATCTGTCCTTCTTTCTCCAACAACAATGAGTGATTTCAAGGAACCTTTAGTACAACGCCAAGCTTCATACAATTCTCCATATGTTAATCCTCTCACTGACCTCAAACACACCCGCAGCTGCAGTGAAGGAAAGCATGCATTCTTTGCAGGTAACAAGGATAATGTTGACAAAGAAAATGCAGCTCCTTCAACAAATAATGTGTCTTCTTCTTCTTCTTCGGTGGCTAAAAAGACCACTCATTTGAAATCTTTGTCAACTATTGGTACCTTTGATACTTCCAAAGAAGTTCCATGTTACAAGTCTTTGTCTACAGGGAAGCTTTTGAAAGAGTCATCCCTTCAGTTCTGTATGCAAATGAACGAGCCTGACAAGGCTTTTGGGTGCAAGTTATGGGACCCCATTGATTCAGAGAATTCTAGTTCCTTGAATATTTGGGATTATTCGGATTCCGAGGCTGCCCCTGCTTCTTCTTGGTCTACATTGCCTAATAGGTGAGTCACTGAATATAATAGCCTACTGCTTTTGCTTGTAATATGTTTCTGACAAGTTTTTTTGATCTCTTGTTATAATATGTTGGGAAGGTTAAAGTTTGAAATTTTAATTCAAAATTTAAAAATGGACAAGGAAATTTAGGGGATAAGAGATGGAATCTATGATTCATCATTGTATAGCTGAATGCATAATGAATATTTATATGTACAAAAAGGAAAAGCTTGTATATAATAGGGAAAATGGAAAGGATGACTTGGATTGCATAACCTTCAATTTAATGAATTATTTATGACCTTGGTTTTGTATATGTAGTTCTTTGACTCCAATTCTGGATTTTTGGACCTGTAACTGATCCTTCTTTCTATTTCCTTTTTTCTAAGTTGTTTTTCTGTTGATATTTTTGACTTGGTGGCTCTTGCTTTAGGACCTTGCTGTGCAGGCCATTGCCACTGGACATTGGAATGTGTACTTGTGTTATTGTGAAGGAACCCTCACCAGAAGGGTTTGATGGTGGTACTTTGTATTCACTTTATACCAATGTAAAATCTCTGCGACTTGTTAAGAATGTTGCTAGCCTTTTTGAGTTATTAATAGCATTTCTCATCATCACTCATCAAACTTCATATGGTTTTGTGAACATCTTGATCAACACTCAATATTCATTCATTTTTATGTTTAAATTTTCAATAGCCCATGTTGCATAGGAATATTTTGGATGGTTCATTCCATCCAAGGAAATTTGGCACACCATTGAACAGTTAGTGGTCTATTATATGTCCTAATAAATAACTCATGAAGCTTTAAAAGAAAATTTAATAATATTAGTGATATTGGAAGAAGCCTGTCTTTTTGTAATCTCTTTGTAACTAAATATCCTATGAGAATTTGCCCCAATAAAGAAAAGTCTTAGATCAGATCTGGTAGTATATATTGGGATAATAACCTATAACACAAAATTTACAGATTCAATAGGACCAATTCTTCTTCCTTTCTATCTGCAAATTAAGTTTCTCGAATTCAAACATGAAAATCACTTGTTTCTGGCTTTTCTAGTTGAATCAAAGTGTTAATTTCAGAAGAATCAGAATTCATAAGTCATAATGATTACTGTAAGTAGTCACATAATAGCCATCATAGTATCTTTGCCTTGAATTTCATCAAAACCTTCCACTAGTACTAATGGTTTAAGTTCAGATTGTGCAAAAATAATTTGCCATATACTTTTCTTACATTTGGATCTATTCGGCATGTCAAAATAACAGGAAGGTCAAGGACGACAGGATCGGAAACTAGCAGTAGCTTATCACAAACGACGGAATGGGAAATCAGTGTTCACAATAGCTCAGACTACCAAAGGAATACTGTCTAATTCTGATGATAGTTATATTGGACTCGTGACAGCTAACCTCATCGGATCAAAATACAATATATGGGATCAGGTTTGACCTCTAAAAGGTTAAAGTGTACAATAAGTATCTAAAAAGTGGCAATCAAATATAGGAAATAATTCTTACTTCAATGGGATAGTAATTTGTTTGATTGCAGGGTGGTCGCACCAAGTCGCTAAACAAAAGGTCTAATTCTCTGTTGGGTGTTGTAACGTAAGCCTAACATCCCCTCTCTTTCTAATTCATATCTCTCCCTTTTGTGTTTATTATTTTTATTTATTTCTTCAGGTTCATGCCAACCATATCCACATGGACGGGAAGTTACCGAAGCATGAAGGCGTATATACCTAAGCACCAATCAATGCAGCTAAAGAATGTGACTCAGGTAGCTAAAAGGATTCATCTATATGAGTTGCCTACTCTCAATGAGTTATCCTTTACGGTCCCCTTATATTTTTTGGATCCTCTATTTTGAATTAATTATGGAGTTCAAAAAATATAAGTTGGATAATCTCCTAGTTTTTATGTAGATGCAACACATCAGTGGACTACCTAAGGATTGGGAGGGGAAAATGGACAAAATCCACAAGCTATGCTCAAGGGTTCCTCGTTACAACAATGTAAGCGTGTGTAAAAGTGTATTTCTCATCATACAAAATTTAGACTTTAGACTCCAGTTTCTCTCGAGTCCTTTAATTGCTTTCTTTTGAGCCAGATGTTGAAACAATATGAGCTGGACTTCAGAGATAGGGGAAGAGCTGGACTCAGAATTCAAATTTCTGTAAAGAATTTTCAGCTGTCATTGGAGGTATAATTAATTTCTCTAGTTTGATCCTCAGTTCTATGTAATTAAGTAATATTAGTTATGTACATACAATTCTTGGGATGTCGCAAACACATGCGGACAAACACTCACAAGACTTGTTGCAGACATGCATGCACGCGATAGAAAACTTGTATTAGTATAATCTGTGTGATTTTGAATCTAGAGGGCCTTTTACAAGGGGATCAATTCACAGAAAGTGGTGTGAAATAATTTTAACTTGGCTATTCTGAAATTTTTTTCCAGGAGAATGGAAGACAAACAATTCTGCAGCTTGGCAGAGTGGACAGATACAAGTATGTTATGGATTTCAGGTAAATTGTTCAACCAGTTTCTAAATTGTTTGTGTTGTACCAAAAAATATTTTGATCTTGACATTTAGCACAAACATTTATAAAGCTTTTGAAGTCAAGAACGAAGAAAAGTTAAAATATATGTAATATTTCCCTTTTTCTTTTTTTACAGATATCCATTGACGGGCTACCAAGCATTTTGTATATGCTTGGCTTCAATTGATTCAAAGCTTTGCTGCACAATGTAATTGAAGTCCACAGCCATTTGTTTGTGTTCAACCTCTGAACCGACGTTTTTCAATTCCTAGCTTCACTTAGCTGAAGGAAAGGCGACCATTTTTGCTTGAAGGTGGTGACAAGCTATGTAAAGAAGCATTGGTGATGATTCATGTTTAAGAATTATATAGCTTGAATGCAAATATTGCATCCTTGTTCCGCAGTCTCCACTGATTGCTAATCTATCCTCAATCCACGACGGTCATGTTTCCATGTAATTTCAGTGTTAATTGCAGAGATTAATTCCGATTAATCATTTGTTCCTGCGTTTGTTAAAAAATGATGCTTTAAAAGTGATGATTTTTAATTTCAATGATTAGGATTCATATTTTAATAGCCTCACTTACATATAGTCACACATATGTAAATGTATGAAGTATTTTCAACAAAACATAAAATGCCAATCAAAATATATCAAGAAAACTATTAAAAAAAAAAAAACCCTACATTTTAAAACATATAGGAGCGGATTCATACGCATTTTCTATGAAAAGCTCATCTAGAATTAGATTACAGGTAGGCCAGACAAGAAGAAAAGCCTACCACTCACGGTTTTCTACTTCTTAATATACTTTAAATACAATTTAATACAAGTAGTCAATGTGGCTAACAGGCTAAGTTCTCTACTATGATTTCTTTTTTTAAGGTAGATAGCATTTTATGCAACCAATGAGATTTGAAACCAGTTCTACATAGTTGTGATTAAATTAAAGAGTTAGTATTTGATAAATTATTAATGTAAATTTTTAATTTTATTGAACAAGATTAAAAGATTAATACATATTTTTTAATTATTTATTTATTTTTAAATATATCTTAAGGGATATTTGACACCCTACTAATTTTAGTTGTAAAATTTAAAAGTTCTAATCACAATTGATGAAATAATTTCTTAAATTTTCAATACATAAATTTATTTAACAAGACTCCCCTAATTGAAGGCCCCAAACAGCATCTACAACCCAACAACCATAAATGCCAAAACCAATGGCACAAACAAATCAATCCAAGGCTGCAGGCCTCACAATTTACAAAACCAACTTGATCCAAGACTTTGAAAACCATAAGGCAAAATACATGACTTAGTATTAGTAACTAGACAGCTGGTGATTCTCGTATACGTAAAATATTAAATTTTATATATTCATGTTATATTTTATATAAAAATTATATATTATAATTTGGGTTAACATAAAAGTATGAAATATATATTTTTATTTTGTTAAATTTATAAATAATTATTATTAAAATTTTAAATTATATCATCTTTGTATTTTTTTTTATATCATGTTTAATATCATATTTTAGATTACTAAATGAATTGATAACGGTAAATTAGAAAACAAATATGTATATTTCTTCAAGTCATTAGGCCAAAGTCGTAAGCTTTTTCCCATTAATTCTCGCCAGTTTCTTTACCATGAAACATGATATGCCAAGAAATTAAGTTACTCTTTTCGTCTTATATTTAATTTTAATTTTACAAAAAATTTTAAAAAAAATTAAGTTGAATTGTAATTTATTTTTTATTTTTTTCAAAAATTACCCTTAACATGAAAAAATGGGTAACAATAATTACGGGTAATAAAAAAAAAAGTTTTCTTTAACTTTTTAAACAAAAGTTTAATTTCAAACAAATATGCAAGGATGGGCAGACCACAATGGTAGCCAGAGGGAGCCTCGAACCCCCAAAATTAAAATTTTTTATTTATTGTATTTATCAATAATTATTTATTATAAATTATAAAAATCAACAAGTTTGTTACAAATGTTAAATCAACTATATACTATTACAAAAGTCAAATTAATTTTTTAATTTCTTCAAAAATTAAACTTAAAGTTACCAACGAAAGAGATTAACTTAATTGATAAATCCTTTTAGAGTATTTGAGCCCTTGATTGTAATTGCAATTGCCACACAGATTCCCTTACTAAATACATGAATTATAAGTTGAAACTCAATTGATATTCCATGCATAAGGGAGGGCGGAGCCGCTGGTGGTTGTTGAATTTGAGGGCATTTATAAACATGGAAAAGTAGCCATATAGGAAATAGGAGTCCCTTCCAAGTCTTTCGCACATCGCATACTGCCTTCGCAGTCAGTTGCTATCATCACTTTTCAACATCTAACCAACAATGCGTTGCTTGCAAGTTATATTGAACTTTTTCTCCCTATTAAAACGGAAAAAGAAAAAACAATAACAACTGTATGTATATATCTAAAATACATCAAAATAAAGGAATTTCATTACCTATATATACCAAATATTTCACATTTTGTCAACAATAATGTCATTTATTGATAAATTATTAAATTTTTAATTTCAATAATCAAAATTCAATTTCTGACAACCTCATATATTAATTTTTTTTTAAATATGATTGTTCGAAAGAATTAAATAAAACCAAATCAAGAATTCGATTAGCATTTAGAAGTTACAGATATAACCAAATTAGGAATTTACATTGTTTAGAAAAAGAATATAAAAATATGGCTCTAACATATGCCAACCAATTCCTTTATTAAGAATAACTGATAAATGAATGTCCATATCCATCTTTATCTACATTTAAATACAAATAAGCAAACTCCTTTCTTCCAAATTTAAAGGAAAGAAGAGTATCATTAATAGTAATTTTAAAATAAAATGTAATTGCCCCTATTTAACTCTTGTCCGTCGTTGTCCTTACAGTTACTATCCTTACCTTTGATAAATTCACAAAATTAAAAGCGTGGAGACCACAAGGATAGACTTATTTTTTCTTCCAAAAAGTTTATGCCATGAAATCCTCTTTCTTTGACTCTAACCATCAAGTTCACAATGAAACATTGGTGTAGAGAATGAATTAATTAGGTCACCAAAAATAATATCACTCTCGGTGTAACTGCTAGAGTCTTGACATTCAAAATAAGTTTGAATATCATCCGGAAAACTCCGCCGAGGTAGACCAGGCTCTGATGGTGTTGATGGACTATCAGCAGCCGAGGTCCTCTCTAGCATTTCCTCAAATTTTGATGATTGCAAAAGAAGCCCTAGTGCTGATGATGCAGAGCCCCCGCCACCATTGCAACCATGTGGTGGTGGAGTCACCGAGGTATCACTAGTACTACAACTTTTAGGTTGGATGGAAAACCCTAAGCCAATGCCATGTTTAGGGCTTTGGGTTGAATTGGTGTCACCATTAAGGTTTTGCAGAGGGCTTTCGGAGTTATTAAGGTTACTTTGGTGATTTGGACGTAGCCATTTGATGTAACGGCTAAGGTCAAAGTTTGTAACCGCATTGAGTCCTCGGTATTCTATAGCGGCCATGTCATATGCCGTCGCTGCTTCTTCTTGCGTCGCTGAAAAAAAAAAAAAAATAACGACCCAAAACAAAATGAGTGGTAGTTTAAGAATTAAAGTGAAGACATAATAAAGTGGAGAACTAAATTTGCATGCAGATTTCGGTGGAGGGTTGGGGATTTACTTCAATGACTTTTCAATTCTTAAATAGCTGAGTAGGCAGTTGAGGTTTGGTGAGCTATATCCCAACCAACTTGATTTTATTACAACTCATTCTCATCGTTTCCCCTTTATCTTCACTTGCACCAATAACAGATATTTTAATTTTGAAATATTTGAAACTCAAATCTGTCATTAATTTAATGAAATTGTCAGTTTGTGCAATTCTAACTTTCCATGTGGCTTGTGAACATGAAGTTGCTAAAAGGAATTTTGAAATAAAGTTTATGTAAGGTACTACATTTTTTTTTTTTTAACAAGCAACACTATAACTATTAAAGTTAAAATTTAGATTTTTTATTTTTAAATAAAAAGATACCATTAAATTGTATAATATGGTTAATTAGTACATCATATCTTCAAGTTATTGTAATACGAAAACCATTTTATTCATAACATTCAAATGGTGTATATGCTGATTAAACTTAAAAAAATTACGAGTTCGAGTATTCTAAAGTAAATTAACTAGTTAGAGCTAATTGGGCAGTGCTAAAACTTAAATTATTTTTTATATAAAGCAAATCCACTTTTTTTTTTCAATATATAATAATTTCAATAGGCTAATACTACCAAACAATAGTTTAGGAAAATTAGAATTTTATTTTAATTAGAAGCAAGAAAATAAATTAATTACTTACCATATGTTCCAAGGTAGAGATATTTGTTGCCAAATACTCTGCCAATTCGAGCTTCCCATCTTCCATTATGGTGGTGCCTACAAAAATTGAAAGAGATTCAAAGGCCATAGGTCCCATAAAAGGAAAATTTCCAGCTTGAGAATTAAGATAGATTGTGACGAATGGCTGGTTCTCTCTTTTAGAACCTGACAAATTTAAATCAAGGTACAACATTCTTTTAACTCATTTACTTTTTAACTAAAATTCGTGAGTGGACAGATAATTAGTAATTGAAAAATTATTAAATTACCAAATATGTTGGTAGAATATTAAATTTTTAATTTTAATGATAAAATTTAATTTTTGATAAATTCAATTATAAATAATGAAAGAAAAATTAAATTAATACGACAAGTTCATTAATAATGCTTAGAACAAGTCTAAAAATGTAGCATTCTGACAAACAATATATTTCAACATCTTTTATAAATTTAAGAGGATACGTTTTATTTTTAAATACTAAAAAATAGGTTTAAAAGAAAATGAATTTGTAACAACCAATGAAATTTTTTTTTTTAAAAAAAAAGGGATAAATTTGGGACAACTAGATATACAGAACCAAAAACCAATTCAAGAAATTTTTACGTTTCATTCAATAAATAGGCTCAAATCAAAATGCCATGAATAAAAGAAAACTATAACATTCTTACCTGGCTACGCCTCTATATTTTGAAACTCCACGAGAAAATCCACTGCTTTTTCTATAAATTAAATTTAAAATTAGATGCATAAAAAACTCAAAACAATTTTTATAATTTTAGCTTCAATTAAAAACTACAAATGTTTCCAAACAATCAAATTTTGATTTAACAATATTTTTACGCTTAATTTCTTTTTTAAGATCACAAGAGATCCAATATTATGTGTCAAATTAAAATTTACATGTACCGACTTTTTGTCATTGAAAACAAAAATAATATAATTTGAAATTTAATTCAAATTAAAAAGTGATATTTAATAAGTAAAATTTAAATTTTAACGTCGGTAATATAATATTTTCTTTTACCTTTACATTATGACCTCTTATAAATAAAAGATGAACAAAAGTTTTGGCTTTGAGAATTAATTACCTCCTCAAAGATCCGATGTATTCTTCTTTTGATTGACACTCCATTTCTTTGAGTTCATTTTGATAAGTTGATAACTACAAAAAAAAAAAAAAAAAAAAAAAAAACAATTATCAGGATTCAACAGCTTCATACCAAATATATCAAAACCAATCAAATGAACAAAAAATGAAATAAATAACTTTTCATAAAAAAGATCGAAATCAAACATACTGGGAAATTAAGGATAGTGTCCTGTCCCCAGTACTTCAATGCAGCCAAGTCATAGGCATGTGCTGCCGCTTCTTCATCATCATAAGCACCTAACCAAAGACCAACATAACAGTTAAATCCTTTTCAATCATGCCACGAAAATACTGAATTCCACGAAAAGAAATATATATGGCAAGTAGTTTCTTCATAATAACAAGGCTATTAAAGACGATGAGGAAATAAAATCATCAGCTGATAAAACTCACCTAGATATACTGCATATTAATTTCAGTTCGGTTTCGTCGTCGCCGGTACAATTGATATCGTCAGCAAAACCAACCATGAAATTTGTAGAATTAAATTAAAATTATTAAATAGAAAAAAAAAAAAAAGCATGGCTGAGGGAAGAAAGATCATATACCTTGTCTTCCTTTTTTGCTCTGGGACTCATTCCAGCAATTCTTATCCCACAAATGAGCTTCAAATCGCCCGGTCCATCGGTGCCTAATCGAACCAATAAGATAAGCTAACGAAATCAAAACAGAATTGCAAGAGAAAATGAAATTAAAAAACAGACAAAAATTAATCAAAACAAAGAGAAAAAATCATGAAACACGATGTAGGTATTATATGTTTTGTTGATTACCTTGTAACACCTCGATAAATGGAGCTGCGTTGGGGAGGAGAGTCTCGGGGAACAGTTTTACGAGTCCGTTTCACTTTGGTCGTAGGTTTTGCAATATTGGATGCAGTTGTACTGCTGTTTTTCTGGGTTTGCTGAGAGATTTTCGCCATGAAAAAGCTGAGAAACACACTCTCGCTCTGGAAACGTAGGAAATGGGTAAAAGAAAGAGAGAAAAACAATAAGGTTAAATGACAAAGAGTTTAAAGGGAATTACGAAAAAGGGGGTTCCTTTTGGCTTTTGTTTGAAGTGTTTTTGATGCCAAAATAGAGAAGAGAAGAGAAGAGAAAGAGAGAGCCGGCAAAGAAATGTTGTTCTAGCCGTCTTGCAGCGGCTTTTTCTCTACACTTAATATTTTTGTCCTCGCTTTTAGCTTTGGAAATTAATTACTGTTTCAACTTTATATTTGTGAAAAATGATTATTGGTCTTTCATCTCCTTCATTTTTATTTTAACCTAATCAATTTGAAGTGTAGGTTAGTACTAACCCAATTACGTACTAATTTACATTTCTACTTTTCTAAAGAGAGAAGACTTGCAATTTATAATAGATATATCTAATTTTTATAAAAATAATTAGATACCAACTTAAAATTTAATTTAATTGATTTATAAAATTATTTTTAAATAACATTCAAATCTGAAATTTAAATTTTAATTCCTGAAACTGTTTTTTCAATTTTTATACCATAACCTTTTATATAGATATATATATATATATATATATAACTTAACTATTTCCAAAAAGATTTTAAAAATTACAAACCATATTACAATAAATTTCCACTTTAGGTGATATATAATAATATTAATTTATTAAATTTCTCAAATATAGCATAATAAGACATGAAATAACTCTTTAAACGCTTAAGATAATAATCATAACAAATTGAGAATGATAAGTTTTTGGCTTATTACAAGTCTACATATGTTAATTGCTTCCATAAGGTTCTTACCCTTGATTTTTTTTTTCTTTTTAAGAAAAAAATTTGGGTGCAAAATTGGGGTTGTAATTCCTACACTCTCTTTTCTTTTTCCTACTTCAAAAACATACAATACAAATATTAATGTATTGTATACAATAAAATAAAATATCATTTTCGATGAGAGATTTTAGCTCCTTACGCTTGCTTTGACGATTTGGTTTGATTTGATTTGTATTTTTTTGGCTAAGGATCTTGATGAGTTACACATGGATTTTCAGTATCAATATTTATTTACTACCTTACTTTTAGTAAGTAATTTCTGATTTTAACGGTTAGATTGTTCTGTTATAAACGGAACTAAGATCACATATTTCTCTTCATTCACATTTCATTTTTTTATTCATCTAATAAAGAATAAAAAATAAAATGGTGAGATTTGAACTCTCACTTTATATGTTTTCTAAACATTCTTAGTTACTAAATCAAAAAATTAAAGATCATTCCCTCATTTAATTCGATCTTGATTACATTTTTTTAAGAGAATATCTATATATAATTTTAATAATTTTAGATACGATATAATGATAAAAAAATAAAAATGAAATGATTTAAAATTTTAATAAAAATAATATATGAATTTGCTAAAAATAAAAAAATATTTTTTGTATTTTTTGTGCCAACGCAAATTATAATATAATAATTTTTATATTTCAATTTATTGATGTAAAGTAAATACATACGAATATATAAATTTTTAAATCTAATTTTATACATACATATGTCTTTTACATGAAATATAAATGGATACATGAGTATTTATATATATATATATATATATAGAATGAAGTCAAATATAAATAGGAGCTTGAACTAAGATGGTCCCAAATCCCAAGCAAAAGGGCTAAAGCTTAGGATGGCAACACTTACTATTGTTGTTGGTGCGCCATACTATGCGGCGTATGCCTAAAATTTCAGCTGACCACATTAAGACTTTGGACTATCACAAATGTATTATTATGAATTTAAAAAAGAAAAAAAATTGAACTACTCACCTCCCCTCTGTCGAAGGGGAAGAACAACTCAGCAAGATGTAAATGCTTAGGTTAGGGTTGGGTACCACTACTAGCGTGGGTTAGGTTAGGTTAGGTTAACATTGTTTTATATAATACCTATATATATATATAAATATATATGTTTTTAAATTGTTTATTAAATGTGTTTGTTTGTATAAAATTATTTACATGCATTTTTTTGCATTTGTTGATTAAATTACCAAAATATATGTTTTTAAAGTGTTTATTAATTTTTTTTATAAAATAATTTACATGCATTTTTTGCCTTTGTTGAATAAATAAAGTTTGGTAGTATAAAAATAAAAATTAGATTAATGAAATTAGTAAGAGAAGTTGATTACTATTTGAATAGCAGTTGATTGTTTCTTTTTATTTACATTTTATCTCAAATTTTGCTTGAGAAGTTAGGGGGTATTTAAATATTACAATTTTAAATATGATTGTAGATATATATAGAGTTATTTTGATAATATTTAATTTAGTATTAAATTTATTTATTTATATTGGATTTTGATTTATAGGCATATAGTTGTGTTATATATATTTACCTCTTTTAAAATTTTAATGTTTCTTGACAAACATCATGAAAATTTCTTTTATGTTTATATTTTTTGAGACATTGAAATTAATCTTTGATGATGGTAAAACTTTTTTTTATTATGTTTTTTATATTTATCATATTATATTTTTAACTTTTATTTTATTTTATTATAAATAATAAATGATAAAAACTCAAAATTCATAAAAAAACACAACTTATTTCAAACTCACATTAGATAAACAACCAGATTATACATCACTTGGACCCTGAATTGGGGCCCAAAAGGAGAAGTTAATTTACCCAAAATAAAATGGACTTTTGGGTCAAGCTCAAACTGGATCGGATCCTGGCAACCAGGTTGGGTCAGCCCAATTATTCTCAGTTTGGAGCTTAACTACAATATCATTGAATGTCGAAACTTAACTCTGATCGGACCAATTACCACCTCTTCTTACACTAATAATATCGGAATTAGGATGGTAGCGTTACCGTATGATTCAAGAAAATGACTTTGAAAATTGGATTAATTGTTGCACCCCAAAAGGAAAAAAAAAAAAAACGAAATAAAAAATCGAATCAATGAAAGTTTGATTTCCTGATTGATATCCATGATCCATAATCATCCCAAGAAGGTTTCTTAAATCTCATTCAATCGTGGCGTATCTGTACATGTGGTTGGTGGTGGCCACTTAAATTCTTTGGTCTTCGGATCCTCCTCTTGAGTCTCTCTCTCTGACTACAGCTCCAAGGGACCAAAAGCTCCACGTTTTGAACGATCTCTACTCATATCCAAAGTACCCAGATCAAGAAAAGCACCCAGCTTTTAGAATGATTGAAGAACAAGATGAGAAGGAGACAAAGCCACTTCATCAGGATTCAGCAGGTGGCCATATGAGAAGGAATAACCCCAAAAAGGGTTTTCTAGAAATGATGTTAAGACCAATGCAGTGGCTGAAAATGTTGAGTGAAGAGTTGCATTGGAGCTTTGTGTTGGGAGTGGTGATAGTGTATGGAATCAGTCAGGGTTTTGGTGTGGGATTGAGTAGAGTCAGCACACAGTATTATATGAAGGATGAGCAGAAGGTACAACCGTCTCAAGCGCAGGTCTTGATTGGGATAATTCACTTTCCTTGGATTGTTAAGCCTCTTTGGGGTCTCCTTACTGATGTTGTCCCCATTCTTGGTTACCGGAGACGGCCTTATTTCATTTTTGCTGGTAAATTATGGATAACTCAAGCCATAGTTTTTGCTTTTTTATTTTTAATCTTGTTGTTTGTTTTGTTTCTTTGACTGAATATTGGTTTCTTATGAGTGGTTAGTTTCTTTGAGTATAAATTTTGAGCTATAGGATTTCACTGGTTTTTAGGTCCTTTTTGAGTGCCTTTGTTTTTTTTTTTTTTTTGGGAAAAGATGATGTTATAGGTTGTTATAAAGGAGAAATATGGGATTTTAAGGAAATGGAAATATGGGAAATGGAAAAAAAGGAAAAGAAATTCTCCTTTGATTCTCTTGTTTGTTTACTATTTCATTAATAATGTGTTTGATAAGAGGGAAATTGGAAGGAAGGAATCAGGATAGAGGAAAAGTTGGAGAGAAAAACTATTTTTCCTTGTTTGATAGAAACAAAATAGGAATAGGAAAGGAAAAGGAGTGGATTTGCAATTTCCATTCTCTCAAAACCGAATCCTTCATCTTTGAAAGGAAATTGGAAGGAAAAAGAAGTAATTCAACAAAAACTAATCATTATTTATGAGTTTATATATATATTTTGGTTTCTATGTATTGCTTTAGTCCAGGAAATGCCATTGTTTCCAATTTTCAACTTGGGAGCAGATTAGCATCGCCAAGATGGCAATTGATTCATACTATCATGCAGCTTTATTGCTTTCCACCGTCTATATTCTCTTCAACTTTATATTCTATGATTTGATACATTTGAAATCACTTTTCTTGTAATGGCATCTTTGAATTGCAAGTATTGTGATTAATTCGTGAAATGTGCCCTTTATTATTTTCGTACTGCATTTGTACAACTTCATCCAACTGTTGTTATATTGTCATATTGATCTTGTGTCTTTTCTTATAATTTACTTTTCAAACGTGTATAGTACTTTTTGTTAATATGGTGTTTATAAATCCCTAATTTATCTACTAGTTGTCTTAAAATCTTAATTGAGGTCAACCATCAGTGGTGTGATTGTAATTGATGTTTTCTTTCAAATTTTAGTCCTTTAGATTGCTGTTTCGAATAAGCAGTCCACTGTTATTGCTGTTTCGAATAAGCAGTCCACTGTTAGGAGATAGAAGGTAATAAATCTAAGCTGCTCCGTTTTTCTTCTATTAGTTGGGTAGTCGTAGTTTTTCAGTGATAACTCTCTCAAAAAATGAAGAGAAGCAAGAATCTAATGCAAATATATATAAAAATCTTCTTAAAATGAAGCCCTTTCAAACTGTGATCACTTATGCTAATAACTCAAAGGTAGAAGGGTTGTTTGTTTGGGGAAATGTCAACTTAATTTGAAGGAGATTGGGAGATGAATGAGTTTAAAGAAAACAATCAGACCATAATATGCGTGTCCTAACAACAATGTACATTGATTAATTATGTTCTTGACATTTTTGCTATTGGCATTGGTGTTTTATTTACTTTTTTGTGCCCATCGATATGTTGAGTTTCCATTCTTTTCTGATGATATATCTTGTATCCCTTTCCTCTTCTTCCTGTATTCTGGAAAGAAAAGAAGAGCAAATATAAGGGCAAAGAAAGAACAGAAGATAGAAATTTGACTACCTCATTTTACGATCACTGTAAATTTTTTACAAGTTTATTTATCATTATTTCAGGGTTTCTTGGTGTGATCTCCATGCTAGTTCTATCACTCCACAAGAATTTGCATATTGCATTTGCCTTGTTATCTCTGGTGGCAGGAAGTGCTGGTATTGCAATTGCAGATGTGGCTATTGATGCCTGTGTCACACAGCATACTATAAGTCACCCTTCCCTTGCTGGTGATATGCAGAGCTTGTGTGGGATGAGCTCTTCTATTGGAGCATTGTTAGGATTCTCGCTTAGTGGCTTTTTTGTTCACCTAGCTGGAGCTAAGGTTTACTCTCTACCCAATATTTAAGTGGTTATTGATTGCAGTACTCTGGGTTATGCTGATTATCTGATTCTTTTCACATATTGGGTACAACTAACTGAAACTGATTAGGCACTCTGATCTAACAATTCCCATTCAATTATTAATTCTAAATACTATGGTGCATTCCTAACATTTAAGGAGTAAATTTAATTAAATTCTTCGGAAAAAAATAAAATCAAACTCTAAGTACCATTGAATTTCAATTATCTTTACAATACTAAAATTATTTATAAAATTTGAGAGTAGCTAATATATTAGATGATAACAAAGCATTGTAGAAAGGAATTTTGAATAATATTAAAGGGTGCTATGGTCAATCTGAAGCCAATAATAAATAAATCAATGAAATCTTAATTTTGAAAACTTTTGTATGGATACAAAACAACACCTAACTGCCTTAACGTGGCTTAATTTCTCTGATTAGAAGATTTAACTAAGTTTGAAGAGTTTGCCTCATACATAGAAGCTACTATTATTCTAGGCATGTAATCTCACAACTTGTAGTTGAAATTCAGATTTGCTCACCTAATCAAAATGTGGAATCTCTCTCTCTCTCTTTCTCTCTCTCTCAAGAATGTGCAATCTCTTGTAAATATTACTGATGTTATGCCAATATATCCATAAATAGAAGATTTTACACAGTATGGAAACTTTGGAATTAGCGTTATTTTTGGCAACCTCTGGAGTTAAGGAATTCAGTTAGTCATGTTAGGATATGGTTTCATTTATATTATTTCAAGGTTGACAATGTATTCAGTCGTACCTATTTAGGCTACAAAGTTCTTTTTGTATTGCACAAGTTATTGAAAGTGTTGCTTTTCCTGCAGGGTGTATTTGGGTTGCTTAGTATCCCTGCTAGCTTAGTTGTTTTGGTTGGGATCTTGTTGAGAGAGTCCCACATGCACAACTTTGCTTACAAAAGAGTAAGTTATCTTCTTTTCAAGCTCTGTATTAATCTCTCAGTTCTTCCCTGCATATATTGAAATGTTGAAATTGAAATTAGGTAAAGGAGAAGTTTGTAGATGCTAGCAAGGTTATGTGGACAACATTGAAATGCCGGGATGTCTGGAGACCATGTTTATACATGTACTTGTCTCTTGCACTAGGCTTGCATATCCATGAAGGGATGTTCTACTGGTATACAGATGCGAAGGAGGGTCCATCTTTCTCACAGGTAGTGCCATTGCCTTTTTCCTGAGTACAAGCATGATGTTCGATTCCGTGTTTTATACTCCATATGATTCAGTAATAACACTGTATCTATGGAGGTGGCAATTGGGGGATTGTTTAAGTTGTTTGGGTTTTTCTGGTTTTGGGTCGCTTGAATTCAAGTTGTTTTAGGCTCAAGTTTTTTTCATTACATATCGGTGACTTTTTTTTTTTTTTGATAGATTATATCCTTGACTTTAAAGTTGATTCAACTTTTTAGCTGGGTTGGGTATTTTATGGGTAAACTCATGTTATCTTTTTCCACCTATAGCAGCATGAGTTGGTCTTGTTTTGGTCATTTTGGATTAAGGTTGCTTGGTTTAGGTTATTTTAAATTCAAGGTGTTATTTTCTCACTTTATTTTAAGTCACTTTGGGTTGGGTAGAGTTGGTTGGCCAATTCATTTCAATCAGTGGAGATGGGTCAGCTTTTGCCACCTCTCTAGGTACATGTATTGATACAAGCATACATATATATCTTAATAACTGGCAGATATTTTGTGAAGTGCATAAAATTTCAAGATTTTCTTTTCTTTTTGCTTTTTTGAATATATATCACAGTTAGTGTGTGTTTATATTTTTTGTTAGTCTTTTCTTGGCACCTTTTTACTTGTGTATGCTTCCATATTTTAAGTCGATTTTGTGTTCATGATATTTTGATTATTTAATTTCTGAATTATAGAATAACCTTGAGTAGTCAACATGAAAAACTTAAAGAATTTGATTTAGAAATTTTGACCTTTTTTTTGTTTATCTATAATAAATCTTTTAGTTGTAAGCTGCAATCTGTATGCTTTTTGCAGGAGGTTATTGGATCCATATTCTCTGTTGGTGCTGTGGGCTCACTTTTTGGGGTCCTTCTTTACCAAAACTTGTTGAAGAACCATCCTTTTCGTGATATACTTTTCTGGGCCCAGCTCCTGTATGGTATGTCTGGATTGCTAGATTTAGCATTGGTGTTGCGTATAAATTTGAAACTAGGTATGCCGGATTATTTCTTTGTGGTGATTGATGAAGCTGTTTCTCGTATGATTGGGCGTATTAAATGGATGCCTTTTCTTGTACTCAGCTCCAAGCTTTGCCCAGCTGGTATAGAAGGCACTTTCTTCGCTCTAATCATGTCAATTGATCATGTAGGGTTGCTTTCATCAGCTTGGTCTGGAGGCCTAGTGCTCCACATGTTGAATGTTACCCGAACACAATTTGACAACCTTTGGATAGCTATTGTTATCCGGAGCCTGTTAAGACTTATTCCAATTGGATTCCTATTTCTGATACCTAGAAGTGACCCCAACTTGTCCATCCTTCCATCTGAGATGTTGAGGACAAAAAGGGGCAATGATGTACTTGAACCAGACAATATTGAAATGGCCTCCCTTGTGAATAGCATCTGACTAGTAACTGCTTGTATTAAGGCAGAACTTACAGAAAGAACAATAAGAAATGAGAAATATTGGTTATCGTATCGTCTAGTCGGGCCTCTCCAAAAGTTAACATCCTGTTTTCGAGCTGGACAGTTTTTATAATTATCTTTAGAATGTAAGAGTACTTAGGTCCGCGAGGATGTGCTATTTTTTGTTCCAAACCACTACGTTTCCCAAGGTAATGCACTTGGACCTTGGTTGCCTTAGAATTTATTCTTCTTTGAAGTTGCTATTAAGCTCTCAATAAGGGCAAAAATCATTTGCTGAAGTATCCGACGGTGTGCTCAAGAACAATTATTCAGAGTTCAGCCAATATGGAAATTCTCACTTTACTCGATGCCCTTTCTGCATGAAACATTGGAATACTAAGGAAGCATTGGAAATTCAGAGTTCAGACATATTTATTTATACGAAACTGTCAATTTCACTGTGACAATTTCACTATATTCAGCAGGTTCTCTCTCTCTCTCTCCCCTTGAATTTTATTGATTTCTTCTACCATCTTTTCAGTAAAATCACTGATCCATGCTCTAGGATGTGCATCTACCGCACTCCGATTGAACTAGTTAAGTGTTTATTGTGTTATTAGATGCATTTAGGAACAAAAGGAAATGAAATTATTATATTCTCAATGCTTTATCAGAGACTACTAAAACTGATTTTCCACACCTGAAGTCTTTCTTTATATTTGAAGCAAATCTTACAAATATAAAATTGGACTCTTGCTCCTAATGAGGAAGTAGTGTTATTTCATGCAACCCCCCCCCCCCCCCCACCCCCCCAAAAAAAAAAAAAAGAAAACCCTTTTTAACCATTAACCGAGCACAATCAGGATGTCTTGAGTGGGCTATCGTAATTTCTATACCTTCTGTATAAATGTGATCTAAGAAAAGATGCTAGGGTATCCAACGGCTGCGGACCGGTACCAGCTTTTCTGCTTATGTGAAACTGCAACTTTCCTGGGCAAAGCCCAACTTAGACTCTTTTGTATCGTATGTAACCCTTTGGTTTCTTTGCTGATAATTTGCAATAATACCGATTTCATCTTTGAATGAGAGGCTCGCAAGAGCCAAACAAACCTGAGATGCATCAGTCTTTACAAAGTAAAAGACCCCAGTGATATCCACATTCATCTCGGCATTACCCTCAAATTGCAATTTGATTATAGGCACGTCCACATCTTGGTATGCACTAAGGTTAAAGCAAGTATCCAAGATGGAGAAAGCTGGTGCTGTAGGAAAACCTGAAAATTGTTTCAGAAACTCTGCCTTGACGGCCTTGTAAATTGTTGGAGGAAGCCTTGTGATAACCGTCCCAGAATCTATTATCGTTACAGCTTTCCCAAAACTTGAATCTTGTAGTGTCACCCCACCAACATTGACACCAGTAAGGTTGAGGAAATAAAAAGTTGATAGCTGTGAATTTGGAATCATTCTAGTGTAAGAAATGGGGCTTGAAGTATTGTAAACTGAAGAATTGCCTCCCAAAACTAATGAACCTGAAGCCCCAGCTTGTGTCGATGGCAGACAATAGGAGAAAAACCCTCCAAACATTGCAGAAGTTTGAGAAACCAGAGAGATGGAACCCTGTCCGAGACCCATGAGACCAGAAGCTCCACCAAAAAGGCCTTTATTGTTCCTGCCACAGCCAAATACAAAATTGTCCACCGGAGTGTTGCCTAGATTGAGATGATCATGAGCTAGTTCACCGCGAGTGTAAGATCCGTCACCATAGCTAACAACATAGTTACAGGTTGTTAGGTTGTTCCCACAGTTTCGTGTATTCCCGGTAGCAAATGCAGACTGACAGGTTGATGAATTACATAAAACCGTTTGGTAGGAAGGAGATGCAGAAGGGTTGAAAAGAGGTTCCTTTTGGTCATAACATGATTTGCATGGCTGGCATTGAACCCAAGTCAAATCACTTCCAGTATCAACAATCACTGTCATGTTTCGACCACCTAATTCAACTGTAACAATGTAATTTAATGTTCCAATTTCTACACCAGAAGTTAAGGGGATTCGAGTGTCAGAAACATCTTCTGTTTTGGCAGAATCCATGTTTTTGATTCGGGCTTGCAATGACTGAACTCTTAGATCATCCAAAATCAAGCGTTTCTGCAGCAACTTGTTCCAGTCTTCGACGCCTCCATAACAATTTTCCCGGTGCTTCATTTCCAATATAGTTGCACCTTTCTCCTTTCCTAAACATTAAAAATTAAAAGGGGAAAGGAGTCATATTTGAAGCATATATTGTGCTAACCATAATCAAACATCTAATTTTGAACGAAGAAAGATCATAGTATAATAATGGCAAAAAGCAAAATAAATATTAACTCAATCGGTTCGTGCAATCACTCTTAAAAGTGACATTCATTAAGTTAAAATCTGAATCCTTTTTTAGAGAAAAAAAAGTATATAAAGCAAAAGGTTGATATGCAAGAAAAGGCGGACATGGATTCGATTGAATCCTATCCATTGACCTAAAGCGGTCGAGACATCACTAAGCAACTTGTTTAAAAGAGAAGTGAGACCCTTTAAAGCACACATAAGCCAATTATAGACTACATAATCTAATCAAAAAAGCAAAGTTAATAGATAAGCTTAAAGTACAGTTAGTTTTCCTCCCTGGAGGAGAGAAAGAGAATGAAAAAGAGAAGGCAATAATGGTTGCTTCCCACAAGGCATGAAAGCAGTAACGGATCCTAGCAAAAAGAGAAAGCATAGGTTGAAATACTGATCCCAAGGTGGAAAATGAAATAATGGGGACCTTTGGCCAACAGTGTAATGACTCTTTCTCATTTGTCTGCTTAAAAAAAAAAACAACTCTTACAAACTCACTTGATTTCTGAGACAAACAACTTGAAGCATCCCTTTGTTGTTTCCATTGAAAGTGTTGTTGCAGCTTGAGGAGCTTCTTCTCACCAAAACAGTGAACCCCATTGTGAAGAATGAGAAGGAAAACAAGAAGTGAAAGCATAAATGAGAAAAGGGTCATTCCTTTCAACATTGCTGAGGACACTGAAGACAGAAAAAGAAAGAAAAAGCAGACAGAGAGAAGGTGAAGTAGTAAAATGAAGAGAGAAAGAGAGAAGAGAAGAAGAGATTCTTGGGTGTTGGGGTTTGGCAAGAGAACAAAAGAGGAAGGGCTGGCTAAAGGTCCCACTGGTGCATGAGAAATTATTGGGGATTCACGTGCAAATACTAGGGAGAGAAAAAAAAAAAGTCGTGTTTTCTTGGTGCAATGCTTGGTGAAACAAAACAACTTGTCTTGTGATTGATATTTTCGAAGTCATACCCTTATGGAAAATTATTACATGTTTATGAAAATGGAAAACAAATTAATTTTTAATTGGTCTTGTGAGTTTTAATTTGTTGCATGATAAAGACTTTTCTCTTCACGGGATCATATGTTACAGGCTCAAGTTCTGCCAGTTAAAGGAAAACAATCTTTAATTGTAACCATGTATTTGGTTTAAAGTAGTTTCACAGTTAATGGAGTTTAAATTTAACATGGAACGACGATTGTAATTAATTTATAGTAGTTTAGAGTTATGCCATTTAGTTGGAAAGTGATCCCACTTTCACAGCATTTTATAATTAATTTGCTACTATTACTTAACGATTCATTTGAAATGTAGAGATATTACATGAATTATAGACTAAAAGTTTGATAAAAAAATGAAAAATCATGAAATAAACACTAGTATATGTATTAATTGTGCTTTACACCAAAAATCATAGCTTATTTTTTATACTATTTTATGAGCATGTATTAATTGATCGTATATATCAACTTAAAATTAATTAATCATACCAGAAAAAAGAAAATTTGTTTGAAAGAAAAATACTAATAATTTTATATTGGATTTATATTATAAAGATAGAAAAGTTATTTTTCTTCAAAATATTCAATCAAGGGAGGTTGTTGATTATTAATTAATGGTGTTATTCTATATATATATATATATATATGTTAAGTTTTAAATTTTTTATAATTTTATATTTAAGTTAAATTTTTTATTTTTTAACAGTCAAATTGTTTGAAATTTTTTATAATTTTTATTTATTAACAGTCAGATTAAGATTGGATTCTTAAAACCCATGTTTGTTTAATTCTTCTCACTCGTTAATTCTTTTGAATTTGTCATATAGTAGTAGTACATCGATGTGTTTCATGCTTATTTATTAAGTAGTTTTAGACCAAGTGTCTTCGGTTACCGTCAAAAGTGTTTACAATTAAAGCAAGTTGTGGATATTTTTAAAAAAACGAAAAATAAGAAAAAGCTTGTGGTCGGCATCGGGATAAGGCACTCGTACTAGTTGGCCCAAGCTGTTTCACCACTCTCAAATATTTTTCAATTAATTTATGATGGACGGTATGCAGTACGAACAATTATATTTTAGTATTTATTTAAAGTATTATTTAAAAAAAGCTTGCATTTAATATATTGTTTTCACTAAATGCAAGACAAGAAATTTGTTTCATTCGCCTGGCAAAAATGGCTTAAACAGATGACCGTGTCAACAACAGTGCGCTAATCAGCGTTGAGAATTGAAGTTCACGGAGGGCAAAGGAAGGAAACACAACATACAACAGCAATAAGCTTTAAATTCAACAAACAAATATCGCTTATGGTTAATACTCTGTGACAGCAACAACTACCAAACCACTCTTTTTAATACGCTATACACGTAGTTCAGTAGTATTCCGACCCTGCATAAGTCGTGGAATGAGATAATCATCTGCATCTGGCAACTCGTAGCCTATTGAGACTCTTGCTACTAAAAATGCACATCGGCAATTTGTATTCTTCATTATTTTGAGATCAATCAAAAGAGGTTTGCTTTGCAAAGTTTTCACTACCACTTTCTACGACTAGTTGATCTTTTGTCGGCAGATAGAAACCTGGGAAGGCTTAATAAACTATTAACCCTAGTAATACCTTCCAAGGCTGACCACTCATCATTAGCAACTGAAATGCACTCGGCTAGACTCCTCTTTGACTGGCCGGGCAACTTTGAAGACAAACTTTCCTCTGTTGGTTCAGTTACAGGCACAATCTCTGTAGAACCTTGAAATGTACCAGATTGTCCAAGACTTAATGTCTGAGAATCTCCCTTGTTATCATCAATAGCCATCATTCTCTCTTCCGATTCCTTAGGAATCCTTGTCATGTCATTTTCTTCCACAGCTCCATTACTTGCAAGCAAATGTTCCAGAAAGAGGCATACAACAGCGCAATCATCATTCTTAGAAGTAGGGTACTTAAGCCTCCATGCTCGCGTAGCACAGTCTACAAGAGCCCTGGCAGCTGTTGTGCGACTAGGGGCTGAAGCCACAATATCGATGGCTTCCTTATTTGAAAGGACATCCCAAACCTGTGCCAAAATTATAAACCAGATTTCAGATAATTTATAGTAAGCCCAGGGAGAAAAAAAACAAATTTGTCATTCAGATGACAGGCATTTTTTCTTCCCCTGCCATTTGCTTCATCTATGCACATTGTCACATGGTGGCAACATAAAGATTATATGCCAAAAGCAAGGCGGAAGGGAGAGCATTTATAAACGGACTTGCCTACAGGCTAGAATGAAAAAAATAGTTACCCAGCAGCATAAAATTTACTAGCAAACTAGTTTGATGTACTAGAGGATGAAGATACCCCATCAGTGGCAAGAATAATGAACTCATCTCTTTCAGAAAGGCGGTGATAGAAAACATCTGGGGCAGAAATCAAACCAAAATCTTTCAGACAGAAGTCCCCAAAAGCTCTAGCCATTGCCAAACCAGGTGAGTCATTATTGGGCAACCATACACGTGCAACCTCAGGCTCATCTTGCAAGGCAAAGACCCTTCCCTTGCATTGCTGAATTCTAGCAGCTTCCCCTAAACATAAATATTTCAAGAATTATTAGTACTGCACATATATGTACGGTAGTTATTCAAATAGGTTAGCACAAGCTATCATTGTTATTTTGACTGAAATAGAGGGAAAGCCTCTTTTTGTGTGTGTATGAGAGAGAGAGAGAGAGACTTGGCAAATCAGGCTTCAAGTCAACAGTCAACTGTACAGCAATCAAAGAATCATCTTTGTCTCTTACTGCCAGCACTGCTCTTGAGTCACCAACATTTCCAATGACAAGATCCTGACCCTAGAAAGCCATATTGGTCATAAGATTAATGGTTAGATGATGTGAAATGAAGTTCTGAGATATCTCAAAGGAAAATTATAAGGAACACTGTACTACACGTACAATGCAAAGATGCTAGCATGCACAATTTAACAAAGTTCAAATCCTAAATTTCGCTACACAGATTAATCTATTTTCCATTTACGATACATGAACATTTGCAGCAAATTTTGGAAACACTTCCCTGCCTTCATTTAGAAAAATAATCCAAATCTGTTAACTATCTAAATTGTAAAAGTTTTAAGCTAGGTAATACATCTCAAAGCTCGATTAACAGATCCAAAGAGATGACTGAGTTTGAATTTTAGTTCATGTCATGACTAATACCTGCTTCACCAAAGTAACAGCAGTCGTCCCACTGCAGAAACAATCGATTGTTGGATGCAACTGTAACTTCTTATCCATCAACTTGAAAGCCTTTAACATAGACTGTTTAAGAGGTAAATACATCTCCGGGAGTTGTTCATTTTCTTCAATCTCCAACATCTCACAGCACTCATCATCCATGCTCAACGATGAAGTATCCTCGGAGATAGTGCTTTCAGGAGCATTTTCGCTCTTAATGAGACTGCTCTGATCACCAGCAAGAATACCTTTCCATTGGGTACACAATATAATAGGAAGAGAATCTCGGACTTTCTTGGCAACCATATGACCATAAGGACCATGACCATCAAACACACCACAGAATATTGTATCACTTCTCGAACTGAAATTCTATTATAGAAACATTGAAACCAAGTCTTCACATAGTGATGCCATAGAGGAAAAAGAGGAAATAAATAAATGGTTTTTATCTAAAGAAAGAAAATTAATATATAAAATACTCAATTTAAATGACAATGATAGAGAAGTCTCATAAAAGAAAATGACACAGCGAAAAACACTATGCAGAAAAAATCATAGGAGCCAAGTCTAACCTCCCAAACAAGCATGGCATCCTGATTGGTCCCTTTCTTCCCCTGTTGGGTATACAAGCATGCAACCTTGCTGGCACCATTCAGAAACATTCTCCCTGATATACAAAGGAGCTCTGCCTCAACCATGGGCACTAACCCGCTTGATTTCTTCCTCCATCTCTCTGACCCTTGCCTTTGCTTCTGCTTGTTGGATGTTGTGAATGCATCTGTGACTTGGCCATCCCTCGTGCTGCCACTTTTTCCTTTGGCTACAGATGAGCAGCAAGAACCCATCTCAAAGTCCTAAGTCCCAGATGAATTAAAACAAAATCAAAATCCACACCAAGCATCGAAATTGCCCTCATCCTTATTAATAACAGCTTTTACCAGTATTTACATCATTAAAATTTGGCATTAGGATTTAGAAGGTTAAAAGAGAGTTAACCTGACAAAGAAAGAGACAGAGATAGACAGATATCAAAGCATTTACGGAGTAACCAAGTGCCTCACAAGCATCTCATTGCTGGCTCATCATCATCCATAGCTGAACACATTTTCCTATGATCACCTGTGAATTATCTAAGGAGTGCCAATAGATAGTGCACACTGTAAAATACCTCCTCCACTACCCACTCTATTTACATCAATCTGAAAAAGGGGTTAATACTTAAGATGTTAATTAGATAAAAAGCAAACAATTAAATAAAAAATTGCCCTGCCCAAAAATCAAAAAAGAAAAAAAAAAGGAAAAAAGGAAATATAAACATTTTCAAAAATTCAAAACAATTAAATAAAAAAAACCTGCAGCAAAGCACAAGCAAAATTTTTAGTTATGTTATAATTGATGCTATATTTTAATTATTTTCCATTACAAATCAATTATAAAGTTGATGTTTACCTTTTGTTTTTTGCTTTATGGCAATTTAAAAAAAAAAAAACATGTAGCAAAAGCACCAATCAAATTGAGTACAAAATACTGACAATTTGGGACATGAAGCCTATTTTCTTCAAATGTATGTTAATAGTCATTTTCTAAATGGATTCCAATTACTTTTAATAAATGCATATCTGTTTGATGTTTTAATTATAAAGTGGTGTTAAGAGTCAATATAAAATTTTAATGTAATCTTTCTATTGGGGGAAATTTAATTATGAATTAGTATCATTTGCATTTGAATTGATTTAGTTGATATTTCTTAGTACGAATGATCTGTAGGTACCTTTAATTTTCAATTGCCACATTAATAGATTGACAATTTTTCTTTTTCAAACCATTGTTTCAAGACATCCCAACAAAAGAATAACTTGGTTGTTGAGATAATAGACTACTGAAATTTAGCAAGTACTGTTTCTTATATTTTTATAGGAAAATACTATTTGTCCCACCACTTTTGTCTCAAATTTTTGCACTCCATATCATATAATTATTGGTTTGATTGTAATATCTTATTTATAAATTAGTTGATTTATCCATGAACTAGTAGACCCTATATTTGAATTTGTCCAATAATTATATTTCATGCCAAGGAGTACAAAAATTTGAGACAAAATTGATAGGGCAAATAGCAAGACTCATTTTATAACATAAGTTTATGCATCTCTTTAAATTTAGAACAAAATGCATGAAGCAAAAAATTTTTAAGCATCTTCCTAAAGGATTCCCTGATTTTTCAAGAGTATTGCTAATGGGTACCCAAGTTAAGTAGCTTTAAATACTACCACCTGCCAGCCAACATTTTTATCAATTAAAAAAAAAAAAATCACAACCAAACTAATTATGGTCTTCAAAAGCTTTTAACTTTCTCCAAAATGCCTTTCAATATCTTTCTTTTTTATATGTTTGTGTCTCTTCCATCTTCCTTAATTAAAAAGTTAAATTCGAATAAGACTAAAATAGAATTTCAAATATTTCTTCTCTTTCCTCCCAAAAAGCCACTCCAAGGACATAGTAATAAAGTGGGAGGCATTGAAATAGCCTCTGTGGTACAATACAAACTATTCAGTCGTTTTTGTGTATTATATCATTCTTACCTTCTCCAAATATTATTAGCATTTCATACCTACTAAAGTGATTTTTAAACCGCATCAAACTGTTTAAAAATTAACACTCTTTATATTATATTTTATCTTCTTAATTATTTTTTTACATGATTAGCATAATAATTTTTTTTCCTAGAAAGAAATTTTATTTGTTGTTTATAAGGATAATATTACGTGCTAGAATAATTATTATGTTGTAGCTTAGCTTCTCATGGAGAAAGATATTGAAGGGCATTTTGAAGGAAAGAGGGAAAAGTTCAATGCTTAGAAAGACCACGATTAATCTAGTAATTTTTCTTTCACCAAAAAAAAAAAAAAAAATGGTGGCACATACTAGTATTTAAAGCTCCTTAAATGGGTGCCTCATTAGCAAAACCCATTTTTTTTAATTATCTACATTTTAGGCAAGCTATGTTCTTGGAAATCACATCAAGAATTTCTTTCAAATTGAGTATTTTATAGTTCAATAAAGTTTTATTGGATTTCAAATTATTTCATACATTAACAAATTTCTTGCACTTCGCTTAGTCATACTTCATTTGACTTCATAGGCAGCTTCGGCTATTCTAACTAAAGTTAATTGAATGACTGATTCTTTAAGTAAAGAATAAGAATTAATAATCTAATTTCAGTCTTAATATTATTGAACAATATAGATCTATTACTATTATCATATAGTAATTTTATGTAATTGTAGATGATTCTCTTTTACAAAGAAAAAAAAGGCGGAATGTTGAGAGTTGTTAAAGTTTCAGCCGCACAAACTCATCTATTATGCTGAGGGTTGTTAAAGTTACAACATTTTATGAACCGCACTACAGCCACATTTGGAGCCAAAAGCCACTAGAGAGTCTAAAGTCTAGTGGCTTTTGGCCTCCGAATGTGGCTCTAGTGCATTAGGGACCATCTCCACCACACCGTGCCATCTTACAGTTGGGTGCATAACTATGCCGTCAATTAAGATCAATTCCATACAAGACAAATTGATTCTTACTTTAAGCATAGGATTAACATGAGTCAGAGAAAGAAATTAATAACAGGTCCAAAATCATAAGTAATTCCTCTTCTCAAAGCCTTACCCATCGAGACATAAATGAGGCATGAATATCTAACCAACTACTGAGAGACCTAATTAACTGCATTCATAGCATTAGCGGTACCCACATCACCTAAATCATTTAAAGTGGCTAAAGGAGCATGACTCATATATTACGTAGAGTTGTACTGCCTTCTTTCAATGGCCTTCATCGATATGATTTCTTTTAGTATTAAGTGTGATATAAATCAATTAAACTAATATTAACCAAAAAAATAAAGCGAAAATGTATAATTTTCAAGTAACTCAAAGAGAATCTAAAGCCGGGATCATCAAATTCGCTAATAATTTTAAAAATATCTAAAGAAAAAAGAAGAACAAGAGAAAGAAATCAATAACCTTGAGAATCTAACTGCAGCAGCAAAGCTTGAAAAAAAAAAAAAAAACTTAGGGCTCCGATTCTCGTTTAACCTTAAAATTCGAAAGCCAGTATTCAGAAATCTACGCAACAAGGTAGAGACTTTCTTCGGAAAGAAGGAAGAAAAATTTGAAATACCTTGTTCGAGGTATGAGAAATTAAGAAAGCTTTGTCGGCAGCAAAGATTGAGGTCCAGTTCGACTATTGACTGAGGATGATTTCAAAAGTTTGAAGAAAGTAAGAAATTTGGAGAGAAGGAATTGATGGCAGAATCAATTTTTAGGGTTTTTGAGCAAAATAGGAGAAGCTTGGTGGTTTGTATTTAAAAAAAAAAAAGAATTGTCAACTGGTGTGAAAAGATTAAAAAAAAAAAAGAAAGGCGGTTGAAATGTTGGAGTGAGTTGAGGCTGAGGACGGCTTGCTGTGCTAACTTGTTTTGTTGTGTTTTGTTACGTGGGAAGATGCTCACTCTGTCTGCTTATTGCTCTTTCGGATAGAAATGTAAATCACATATTAATTCTCATAAATTATTTAAATTTAATTCAAATAAATTTTAAATTCAGCTTATTTGTTATCTAGTCAAATTCAGTTGCCAATAATTTAATTTATCAATCAAATCAAATTTAAATATATTAATATATGACTCTAACGATTTACAAATTTAATCCAATTTTTTATTTAAATATATATTTTTATTATTTTAATTAAAATTTACATTTCTACTCACATATATATATATATATATATAACCCTAGACACTTTTAAATATTTATTAGTTGCATATGCTTTTTCTTTTCTCTCTTGTTTTATCTCATCCTAACAGCTACTTCTTTCTTTTTTAGAACTTTTTTTTTCACGCCTCATTTCAATATAGCTATCTAAAAAATTGGACAGATTATATCCACATGTGTGCCCCTACCTTCAATCAATATTAGCTTACATAGAAAAATCAAAGGTATCATCTCCAAATATGAACTGCTACTACACATTTGAAGGTTGAGTGAATAATTTTGCTAAACCTTTAGCTACGACTTTGGCTAAAAGCTTGCTACAGAATGTTATTTATTTCTACTTTAACTACTTAAAAAAAATGTATTTGAATAATATATGCCGGTAATAATGCTTATTTTAGTGTTTCCTTTTTTATTTACAATATTAGTAATACTTTAATGAAAGCTATTGTTGTCTTAATTAATTAGATTGAAACTTTCAATTTTTTATGTTTAGAAATTTTTGAATTTGGTCGTTTGGAGTTAATTGGATAAATATTACGAGATTTTTAATTTTTTTATGTTTAGAAATTTTTTTAATTTGATGATGTGTGCTTTATATTGTTACAACATTATTTTGAAAATATCATTATTTATAAAAAAACATCTCAAATTTCAAATTAATTAATTAAGTTTTACTATAAGCATATTAATCAAATTTGTAAATTTTTATTAGATAATGAGTTTTATCGAGTGAACTCAAATTTAATTTAATTTTTATTTCAAATCAAATTTAACTTAAATAAAAAAAATTAATTGAACTCGAGCTAAATTTCAAGTTTTAATTTTTTTTAATCGAATTCGAGTTTTACAATATATTGACTTAACTCGATTACATCTTTATGTTTATCTAATACTAATTGTTTTGAAATAATATTTGAGTGCCCCTAAATGCGTTTCATTTTGTTACACTCTATTTTTAAAATTTTTTATAAATAAAATTATTTAATTATTTTTCTCACAAATTTTTAAATTTTTATAACTTTATGAAAAATCATAAATTTTCAAAAACAGATTTTTAAAAATTCATATAAATTTTCAGAAATAATTTTTTTTAATTATAAATTTTCTGGAAATTGATTTTTGATAAATTTCCAAAAAGGTTTATAAATTTTCTTAAATTTATTTTCGAAAATTTGGGTAAAGGAAAAAGATAATTAAATAATTTTAACGTAAATTATTATGAACTTAATAAAAATAAAAAATATATTTTGTATTTTATAAATTGATAATAATTATGATATTTAATTTTTGTATAAAATACAATATAAACATATAAATTATCATTATACACAACACGAAAATAAAATTTCATCATATTTTCCTCTTCATTAATCATTGCATTCAAACAATAAATTCACCACAAAATACAGAAGTATCTCTAACTACTCTTCAAATGTCATTCAAATGGTATCGAACAAAAATAGTTTAACATTAAACTTATATTATATTTATTTAAATCAACTTAATTTAATATATAATAATTATATATAAAAACAAAATTGTGGATAAATTTTTGAAATGATTATTTTTATGCATTATTTTTCTAAATTGTCAATCAAAATATTTTTATTTTTAATAAATTTTAAAAAATAAGTAAGAAAATTTATTTCATTAAAATATTTTTTGTAAATGAATTTATTTGATAATAGATAAAAATGAATTAAAATTTACGTTGAATTGCATTATATCCAGAGTTTTTATTTTGTATTAATCTTAAAATTTTTAAACAAAAAAAAAGTTAAAGTTTACATTAAACTTCCTCATCTTTATAACTTTAATTTTACATTAATATTAAAAATAATAAATTTTATATAATTTACTCATAAAACAAAATTTACAAATTAATGTAAATTTTAATTAATAGATTTTTTTAATAAAAAATAGATTTTAAAAATTCAAATTAATTTTTTTAAAACCAATATCATTTTAAATAGAAAAAATTATTTTTATTAAAAATATTATTTTACTCATAAATCATAATAAAAAATATTATTTTTATCCAAAATGTATTTTTTAAATATTAAATATCATTTATTTTTCCTTTTTCATATATATATATTATAAAATATGTTTTGTAAAAAGGAAAAAAGGGCAAATAATTAAAGAAAAATTGATTTTTGTACATTTCAAATATATTTTATAATATATTATACTATAAATTTTTTTTATTTTTATTATGATATGATTTATCAATACAATAATATCTTTAATAGAAAATAGATTTTTAAAAATTATAATTAAGTTAAAATTTTCAAAATAATGTTTTAAAATTCCATACAATTTTAACAGAGAGTAAAAATTTTATATCGGTTTAGAAAATTAAATACATATCATTTTAAAATATTATATAAAAATTTCCAAATCATTTTAAAAATAGATTTAATAATCTATTCAAAAATTTATTTTCTATCCAAAAAAAGCTATTTTATTAAAAACTTTATATTCATATAAAATAAAAAAACATAATTTAAAATAATTTTGATTTTTTCTTTTTTATAAAACATACTTTTATAAAATATATTTAAAAAAATAATAAAAGATATTTAATGTTTAAAAAAATAATATTTTTAATAAAGCATAGCTTTTTATTCTTAAAATGATATTCAATTTAAAAAAAGAATTTTAAAATTTTAACATAATTTTAATTGTTGAAAATATATTTCCTATTAAAAACAAAAAAATTTAATCAAATTATATCACAACAAAAATATAAAAATATCATCTTAAATTTAATATTTTATAATATATAAGATTTTAAGATAGTTTGCTTAAATTTTTTTTTAAAAATTTATTTTGATTTTTCTTCTGTCAAGTGAGATATCAATTGACGTCATCACATGACTTCAATTGACATTAACAGTTAATTTAAATAATTTTATAGATAAAAAATAAAAATAAAATAATTTTAGATAATTAAAAATTTTAGTTTAAATTTTTTAAAAATTAAAAAATTAAAATTAAATCAAAATTTTAAAATTACTTATGCTATTAATTTTTTATTCATAATTAAATGTATGACTATATATATAAAAATAAATAAAACACATGTCATAATAAATAAATACTAATTTAATTAAAAGAGACTGAAGATAAGAATGCAAGAATTATATAATAGAAAGAATGTGGAAAGAGCGTGAGAGTTGATGACAAGTGTAAAACAAAAAAATAATGAAAGGAAAGATATTCGAGTCAACTCAAAGATGACAAATCCAAATTGAAAACATTATCCACAAAAGCTTACGGAGAATCCCATTTTACCGTCCGACGTGTCCCTACAAGCCTCCAGATTCCTCCACGTGTCACTCTCATCCAATCGCCGGCTCTTTTTCGGTAAAGGAATAAGGACAAAAGACAGTCCCACTCCGGAACGTTCACGAACTGGGTCCCATACTTTATCCATTTAAACCAACCGCACGTGCCGACACGTGACTCAATCCACTCCGGCCGAAAGACTCCAAAACAGGTGACGTCACTGTCCCTTCTCATCTCCCTCAAAATGACAAAACCAACCCCCTGAGGAACCTGGCATCCGTCGACAACATTAGGGTTAGTTTCGTCATTTAGAAAGTCACCGTCAAGGCGGTGTTATCGAAATGCAACGTCACGATTCTACTTGGCTCGTGTAATGGCACGTGCACTAATTAAAACCCGGCCGCCACCCAGCCAAGCAGCCAGCCATTGCTGTTAAAAGAAAAGATCCTTTGGTTTTTGTTTTGTTCAGACTCTGCAGAGTATTGAAGAAGCAAAGTAAAAAAAAAAAAAAAATTCTAGAAAAGAAGAAGAGAGCTTTGATCAAATGGTGCAGTTGATGAATTCAGGAAAAAGGGTAGCTGTGAAACTGGAAGTGGAAGATGCCTTGGAAGATGAGTTGTCTCCTCCTCACAAAAAAGGATCAAAACTTGACCCTTCTTTACAGGTATAAATTTTATGTTTTTCATATATATATATTGTACATATTAGCTAAATGGGTTTTTTTTTTTTTTTTTTTTTTCATTTTTTGAGGTATTTCATCTCTGGGTTTGTTTCTATTGTGGGTTTAAGCTCAAAATACCTTTCCTTTTTTGGAATTTTGTTTTTTCCGTTGTTTAGTTTTTAACAGTTTTGCAATTCTTTTTTAGTCTTGAATCTGATTTCTTCAATTTGGTTGCTTAATTTTTTATTGGATTTGTTTGTCTGAGCAGGAGGGTGATAATGAAAGTAGGAATTTTCTAATCCCACCTTCATTATATAATCCACTTGATGAGCCAAGTCCGCTTGGCTTGCGTCTGAAAAAGAGCCCATCTTTTTTGGACTTGATACAAATGAAACTTTCACAACAAAATGCCGATAAGTTAGCAGCTCTTAAGAAGAAAGATAGTAAGGGAGTTGCAGTTTCCGGCGTACAGGACAAGCTAAAAGCCTCGAATTTTCCCGCTTCCCTGTTGCGAATCGGTTCTTGGGAGGTATGTTTTCATGATTCTTTGGGATTTTGTTGCCGTTTGGATTAGAAAATTAATTTGTTATTCTGTGGAGTTTGAATTGATTAAGTATTTGTTGTTTTGTAGTATAAGTCAAGATATGAAGGGGATTTGGTGGCAAAATGTTACTTTGCTAAGCACAAGCTTGTATGGGAAGTGCTTGATGGTGGACTCAAGAACAAGATTGAAATTCAGTGGTCAGATATTGTAGCTATCAAGGCAAATTATACTGATGATGGCCCGGAGACCTTTGATGTAGTGGTAATTCAACTTTTGCCTTAAGCCGTTGTTTCTTCCTAATTGGTAGTTAGGAAAAATTTTTTAGGAAAAATCTGCTTCACGTAGTTTTTCCTTAAATATAACCTTCTGATGATTGTCAAATGTCAATATTTTGATGAAACACTGATTTTAGAGGAAATTGTTATTTGCTACAGTTGGCAAGACAACCACTTTTCTTTAGGGAGACAAATCCACAACCTAGGAAGCATACTTTATGGCAAGCATCATCAGATTTTACTGGTGGACAAGCAAGCATACACAGGTACTATTGTTGAGCTTTTTATTATCTAGCAGTAATAGATAATTGAAGTGAATTAAGTCTGATATTGTGTTGGGGATGCAACTGATTTCAAATTCCGTTGTTTTAGTTGGTGTTGGTCATATGAGCATTGACTCAATTGCCAAAAGTTGTGTTATATGAGCATTGAATGTCCTGTAATAATGATGCATTCTTCATTTGTCACAGGCAACATTTCCTACAGTGCCAACAGGGCCTTCTAGGAAAACATTTTGAGAAACTTATCCAATGTGATCCTCGTCTGAATTTCCTAAGTAAACAGCCTGAAATTTTGTTAGAATCACCTTATTTTGAACCCAGGATATCTGGTTTCAATGATTCAAATGAAGCTGGCCATGGGGTTGAGTTAAAAAGTGAGGAGGGTCATATTATCTTTGGATTGCAGGATCCATTATCACCATCTGCTGGTCAATCTTCTTCATGCAAAAATGAGCAAGATTTCAGTGGTAGAGCTACTGAAAATTTTTGCCAGGGAACTCCATCACCTAGCTCAGGTAAAATTATAAACTGAGAATATTGGTACATCTGATATCCTTTTAGAATGAAGTTTTGATACAATGACAAGATCATTTCTACATTTTCTTCATTTTGGCAATAGTGAATGGAGTCTTTAACAAGGATGGATGGTTATCTTGGTCTTTTATCTGCCTTTGATTGTATTATATATAGCACAAGTATTTGTCTTGGTGATGATCAATATAGCTTCCCTTCTAATATGGTTGCATTGGTATTTTGATCAGACTATTACAATTCTAAGTCTATTCGTTTGCACTCTGCAACTGCCAATACATAATTTATTAATTTTTTGTTCATATGAATGGTGAGGTCTAACTAATTCCCCAGCAATGATGATTTGTAGCTTGAGTCAGTTATTAGTAATGGCAAAATTCTGGAATTTAAATGATTGTGCCACTATTGGTAAACCGCCTCTCCCAAAAAACGAAAAAGCTTTAAGTGCATTTATATGTATACTTGCCTTCTAAATTATCACTTTTTTGAGAAAAGCTCTGAGTGATGAGTTAACTGAAGAATACATTATATAGTCTTTTTACTTTTAACATAAAGAATATAAATCCCTTGACAAGCTACCTTCTTATAAGTATTACAGAGCAGTTGTAACTACTAAATAATTTGTCAATTGGAATATGGTCAAGTTATCTTTTGTTTGAAGTTAACATGGCTAAAGACTATACAAGCATAATAATTATCTCCCATCTACCACTTGATTGATAATACCTTTCTGTCCTTGATGGATGCTATGCAGAACATGGAGATATGGATTCTGATAAGCTTTTTAGATGTGGCTATGTCAACATAGAAGTGCATTTTGTGCAGTTTCCATTGCTCAATTTTAAACTATTTTATAAACTCTAGTTTCAGTCTTGCTGGAAATGGGATGACTAAGATCTTGATCTCAATTTGTCAAATGTGGAAATAAGGGAGGATAAGTCGGATGAAGGACATAAGAAGTGAATACTGAAAACTTTTAAAAAAGTTGAGATAAGATCTGCTGAGGGTATTTAATACACTCAAAAACAGACAGCAATATATAAATAATCCTATTTCATTGTTAAAAAGTTCTTCAGTTATAACATATAATACTTAGGTATAAAAAGAAACAATAAAGTATCATTTACATAAAACAATTTAAATTGATGCCAAAATTCTTCATATTTGCCTTGTTTCAACTTCTTTAATCCTATCCTAATGTTTGACACCTATAAAAAGGTTCTTAGAGTATCCAAGTGTTGACATATCAAAGTAAACAATAATATTTCAACATATAACCCATTGTTGTGCTGTTAAACTGATTTTTTATTGTCCATCCATAGTGTAGTTATCTTTTTGACGTTCATTTTGAATGTACTAGTCATTAGGTTAGTATATGTTGTTCGTATGGAGTTTGCATCAGTGTGATAGGCACTATCTAACATTTCACATCAAATTATCTTTTTTTCTTTACAGTAATGGATACCCATGCGATTGAAGAAATTAGAGGCAGCACGGCTAAGGAAGGAAAGTTGCTCGGTCAATGGGATCAGATTAGATTTCCTGGAATTCATGCATCCATGTCGATGAGTGATCTTGTGAATCATATTGGAAATTGCATCTGCGGACAGATGACATCTTCCCTTGATGACCTACAGAGCCGAGACATTTTGGAGGAGATTACACAATACTTGCTCAATGACTCACAGCTTACACCAGCCTCTGATGAAGAGTGTCTCATGTCTAGGGTCAATTCACTTTGCTGTCTTCTGCAGAAGGATTCTGCTGTGGAACCAAATTTTCAGCCCAAAGAGGATGATGCTGTTGATGTGCATGATTATGGTAAAATTGTTGAAGGCAGTTCAGTCTCAGCACCAGCACGTGAGAGTAAGACGTCAGAAGGTTTTCCTGTAACAATGGATGAATCCAATGATGTTTCTGGCTCCAAGCGCCCGCAGGCCTTGTCAAGGAAGGACTCAGTAGGGGATCTTCTGCTTAATCTTCCCAGGATTGCTTCACTACCACAGTTTTTGTTCAACATCATGGAAGATTCTGATAGAGAAGGTAGATAAAGATATACCTAAAGGTTTTTCTTCTACAAGAGTAGGAAGAATGATTGCAGGTTTTCTAACTAAACTTGTAAAACTTAAGGATTTCTCAAATTAGTGCTTATGAAGAATCCATGTTCATACTAGAACCTCTGTTTGGTGTTCTCAGTATGTCTATCCCTATGTAAAAATTAGTGAAACTCTTAAAGGTCATGTTTGTAAATATTGTCTATATTTAGTCTTGTTACAGGTATCTTTAGTGCTTCATTTTGGGAGGAAAATGTTGCTCTTTTTGGTCACCTACCGATTACCTTTTACCTTGACGATCAACTTTGCTGAATAAAATAAATAGCTTAATATGACTTGGGGATTATTTTTGCTGGGTGGTGCACTTTAGTTAGGCCAATAGAAGCTTCTTCAGTAGCTATTCATTCAACCTAGAAGGTCGAGGCCAACACAACATTTAGATAATTTGGCACAACATTTGAGACTTACAGCTTAACAAAGCAATAATAAGCATTCATAAGAAAGCTGCTCACCAAGCCAACACAAACTAAACTACAATGATCACTTGACCTATTTCTTCCCTCGTGTTCTCTGCAGCCCCCTTCTTACTACTCTCAAACAACTCTACAAAAGAATAAACAATTAAATGGATTTTTAAGGTTCATCTGGACCTTCCTCTCCTTCCTGCAACATATTCATCAGCATGGATATCTGTTCTTGAAGCATTGCATTTTCTCTCTCTACCTCTGACCGTTGGCTTTTCTCTTGTAAAAGCTGAAGTTGCAGATGTTCTAGACACCTCGCATCCTCTTCCAACTGCTCATTCAAGCCATCAATTTCCCGGTCCTGCAAAATTAACCATTTGGTTGTTTTCTGTTACATTGCACCATCCCTACAATTGCGCCTGTATGTATGCATAGTGATTATCCTTTAGACCTCTCCTACCATATCAGTTGCAGATTCTATAAACCAAGATAATAAGAAATGGCTACGTGATAATTTCTCTTGTGCCCGTGTGTCTTCTGTACATGTACAGATGCTAGTGTTTTTAGAGAAGGTTAAGTCTAAGAAGAGACCTTTCTGTTCATTTCCTGGATTGCAATCCTTCGCATGCTCTCAACAACGTCAACATTTACCAGCTTCCTCTTCTTTCCAATCAGCCAGCCCTTTGGATAGCTTGCAGCATCAAAGTCTGGTGGGGGAAGTAAAGATTCAGCTGATGGGCGCCGGCCATTGGTATTTTTTATAGGTTCCAGTGGTTCAAAAAGAGCCTTTCGGCGCCCAGAAAGTTCAGAAGCCGTTGCTGAATCTGGCGCATTCTCTTGATCTCCAGTTTCTTCTTCCTGTTTGGTGGGTGTCATATTAGCAGTCTCGTCTGTTACCTTGTCTAAATTCCTCCCGCTAGCTGTCGGAAAGAAGTTAAACATTCTAGTTCCAACCAACTTTAGATGCATTTCTAAGCTAACATAAAATCATTAAAACATCATTTATTGGTAAGCTCTCAGCTTCTTTAAGCTTACTCAATCTTCTAAAACAGACATTCACTGAACTTAATTTTCAAGACCAAAAAAGAAGAAGCTAAGAACAGTTTAGTCTAATATAATATTATGTGGCAGATAGCAACATCTAGCCAAAGGTTAGGGTTCAGATTTATGGTAAGTTGCTTATAACCATGTAGACTTCCCTTGAAAACTATATATTATGCATATAACCCTTTAATAAGCAAGATTTATAAGTCCATTACAAGTCTGAAAGCACCCTTGGCATGCCAAAAAAGGGGCAACATGAGGAAAATTCATCCTTGTGTGACAAATCTATCTTCAATTTTTTTCAAAAGTATTCAGGTTCGACTTATATCACGTGGTCGTGAATATGGTTTTTTGACCCTCCAAATATAAGAAAAAACTTTAAAAAAACCGAACATATCTATGTTAGACTCACTCTATTCAACGAACGCATACCAAGGCTGAGCAAATCATATAAACTTGATTGTTGAAAATAAAGGTATAGCAATTTGGAAAATTAATTCACTGTGGCACATTAAATCCTCTTCTTAGCAATTGTTCCTTAATTATGAGGTTCTTAGGTTTAATGGCATATATAGATTTGTTTATTTTTATAACAAGGAACCATTTTTGATGGCAAATTTAAGATGCCTGCATTATGCCATCAATCTTATGTACCATTTGAGTTAAGAAAAGGGAGTTACTATTTGAAGGTAGAATTGCTACATCGACATGTTCCTACTGTCCGCATTATTGGGCTACTTCGTTCATCCCTAAATTTAAACCATAACTATTATTCTTTTTTTTTTTTGTTTTTTTCAAGGGTGGATATATATGAACCATGCTTTTTGAGAATGGAATATATGCATATGTTATTGAACCAAAAGTTTGAGTTCAATCACAAATAATAACTTAACCATGGTTAAACTTGAAGTTTAGCTCAAATGATTTACTCACAGATATAGATTTCGTCAGTGCTGAGGTTTCTCTCTAACACTTGCAAATTCTTCTTCCCTAATTCTCCTTGGCTTTGACCTCTTTTGTATAAAAACAACTTATTCTTCAATTAATAATATGGTTAAGGATAAAGAATATAAAATTTTCCATAGATTTTGGCCTCATTTGTTAAAAAGAAAAAAAAACCTCCAATTAAGAATATGGCTAAGGGAGCAAAAATTTTGATAGAAGATAAGTAAAGGACCAATGAAGAGATGATTTATTTTTATTCTTTTAAGTACATTTTTATAGTGTGATTCAAAGTTGCAATTGCAAACATAATAAGCAAAAAGAAAGAAGAAAATTAAAGTTGAAAAATTAACATAAAATAAAAACTATTGAAATGATTGTTACAACATATTAGTATTAAGATCACCTCAAGAAGGGAGCTGAATTGCTACTATAGTAATACCCTAGTACATCATTATTAATGAATTATTAAATAAAATTAAGATTATTGAAATTTCACCTTCTCTAGCAGCTTGTAAAATTATAATAATTGTTTGTTTCCCATCTATCTCATAAAATTTTATTTTATTTTTTTTATAAAAGAGAGTCCAACTTAGAACTTAATTGTTTAACGAGTTAAAGAAATTATAAGAGGTAGTTTTACTTGTTTATTTTCTTATATTTTTTTAAGTGTAAGCAAACCTTTATTAAAAAAAAAAAGAAGTATAATATAAGCAAGCCAACTGCAATATTTAAAAAAATGGTAAAAAATAGACTAATAGTGATGATTAGGTGGATGATTAAGCAATGAAAAAAATGGTGGCAACGCATCCGTCCATAGTCAAAGCCAATTCAGAATCAACAAAAAGGCAGGAAAAACGTGCTGGTTTATAAAATTGAAAATAAAAAAGAAAAAAAATCAAAATTACGGTAATAGGCAAGAAAATGAAATAAATAATATAAAATTAATAAAGATATATATATAGTAATATTTTTTTACAAACAAAAACTTAAGAAATTCCTGAATTAAGTTGAAATGAAGATCAAATAACTCTTCTCCCTAATTAAACATATTCATAGCCTTTTTTTTTTTTTTTCAAATATAGAAGCCAAGCAAGTAACAAAAAAGGCGAAGGCGTGAAAACAAAGTAAGAGAGTACCTGATCTCTTCCTGGAATTCCAGAAAATCCTGGTTGCGGATACAGGTGAAAACCCTTCCAAAGCTGCTGCATCTACCATCTTCTTCTTCTTCTTCTTCTCTTTCTCCATATATCGACAGCAAAGCTAAAAAGAGAGCTATCCAATTCTCTCTTTGTTTCTTTTCAAACCTTGAAAAGAAACAAATTTTTTCTCAAAAGATTTGTTTTTGTTGTTGGATGTAGATGCTCTTTGTTAAACTAGGAGGAAAGAAAGGAAGAAGTTGAAGATAAATTGTGGGTTAAGATTTGGAATTTTGGGTGGCAGATTTTATGTCAAACAGTTGTCTCTTTGCTTTCCCTACGGGCCCATGTCCTTTTCTATTCTTTGCTTCTATTTTCATGCAATTTCCTACCTTTTTAATTTAATTTTTTATTTTCAATTATTGTGTTTGTCACCATGCAGGAAAAGAAAGGATATCCCACGGTAGAAACAGCATTTTCTCTACGAAAACAGAGCAGTTGTCTTCAAGTTTGGGCCTCTTCTTGTAATTAAATACATATATTTGGAAAAAACAAAATTAGCCTCAATTAAATCGAATTCTGACGTCAATCTCCCGTGGAATATGTTATAACAAATAAAGTTGAAAATGGAACTTTTAGTTAAATATTCAAAGTAAAGGTTAGATCTTTTAATTAAAATGCTTACCCCTAATTTCAAAAAAAGTACATGGCCTTTATTCAATTAAAAAAAACCTTACCCTTCTAAAGTGTTCGAGGAATTTGAGTCCTGTCTCTAGGATAGGATAGGAGTAACAAATTGGCTTTTTAAAATAAAAGAAGTTGTAGCTTGAAATAAATTATAAATGTTAAAATTTAACTTCTAAATTTGATGAATATTATTTTTTAAAAAATAATTATATGAATTAATTTAAATAATTTTTGAATTATCAAAATTTTTTTTAGCTCATAATGGATAAAAAGGAATGCATCACAAATATTAAGATAGGAAAGGAAATGGTTATTGAAAATTAAAGTTAATCAAATAAACATATCATATCAGTATATAACTATCTTCTAATTCATTAATTTCGCTTTTCAAAAATTTAATTAATTACATTTTTGCATGATTTGAAAATGAATAAAATAAATAAAGCATCTATTATAAATTTTTCCAAATAAAAGAAAATGAGATTTGGGAAGCATAAAATCAGTTCATTGACAATAAAACTCAAATAAACACAATAAAAAGGGGGAAAAAAAATCCATTTGAGGTTCACCAGCTATTCAATTCGAGTGATAAGCTTACTTTAGGCTTTTAGATGATGATTTTTGACAGGAACGTTTTTATTCATTCTGATTTTTTAAAGCTTTTGGAGATAAAAGATTAGGAACTTAAATGAATCTAATATAAGCAATTTTTATTATATTTATTATATATTCATTTAATTAATAAATTTTAAAATATTATTTGTAATAATTTATTTAACTTAATAAACGAACATAAATAAGATCTATTCACAAACTATTCGTTTAACATTGTTTTCATTTATACTCTTACTTTTTTTTTTTAAATTACACAAAACTTTAATACAAGTAAAGGAAAATGAGGAGACTTGATTTAAAATTAAATCCTTGATGTTCTCTCAAACGCCTTTAACCACTAAATTAAAGGTTTAGAAACCATTTATACTTTTACATTACAAGCAAAATGAATACAAATAAATTTTAGAAACCGTTTATACTTTTACATTACAAGCAAAATGAATATAAATAAATTTTATTATATTCGTGATATGTTCATTTAATAAATAAATTTTAAATATTATTCGTAATAATTTGTCAAATTTAATAAATTAATATAAACAAATAAAAAATCAAATATGCTCATGAACTCTTTGTCAAACATTTTATTTTTTAATATTATTAGATAAAATTGATAAAAATATAAAGAAAAATTCTTAATTTCATTTTTCTTTTTCTTTCGGGTTAGGGTTGTTTTAGAACGGGGTAGTGAAAGGCCAAGAGATGAGGTGGGCCCAATCAAACATTAGCTATTGCCGACTTCTTTTCATTTCTTGGACTTTGGACCCTTTAAGTAAGCCTTTTAGTAGGAGAAAATAAAGAGTTTAGGCTCAACTTAACAAAAAAAAAGTTTCAAGTCTTGTCCATTTGCAGCTTTGCTTCGGCCGAACCAAAATTTGAGTTTCAGTGGTAACTAGACACTAAAAAGCTTTTCTGCCAATCTTCCAACAAAGGGTCAGATCCTGCCTTAACTGTAAAGAAAGGTTGTACAGATAAGGCCCAAGAGTTCAACAAAAGCCTTGGTCAACAAAGGGTCAGACCATGCCTTAACTGTAAAGAAAAGTTGTACAGTTAGGCCCAAGAGTTCAACAAAAGCCTTTGATCAAGAACCAGATTCTGAGCTAACAGATAAAGGTTTGAAGAGAGGCACTGAGAAAGTAGCTAGGGGACTTTGGTTCACAGTAAGTGGGATTGAAAGATTGATAGGAAAATTTAGCCATCCAACCAACCCAAGGTGCTCCTAAATATAATGCATTATCTGCCACTTCCATTAATGATAAATGATGAATGCATAAGATGCCTACGGTTTACGTGATAACCATGGATGCTGAATTTGACTGAAAAGCATCATACCAGAGAAGCTTATAAGCCACCTTTGGTTTAAGGTGGTTGATTGATTTAACCGACAAGATAGGATGAACAGAAAAAGGTTACCATGAGAGGCAACGGGGGCAAATTTAGCAATTGAAATGGTTAATCTCTAAACCGATGCAAAATGGACAGGCTTTGTTGATAAAGAGATGACGCCTATTATGTACAGTTCAAAATGAGCAGAAGCTACGTAGCCTGTTGGTAAAATCAATTGTTGTAAATGGTAAAAAATCTATATTTCATGTTCCTATTGGTCTAACTGGTATCGCCAAAATTTTGAGAGAAGGAGAGGTTGATGCCTAAGTAAATGATTGAGCATAAGTTAGCTCTCACCGATTACACATGGAATGCAAGGTGGATTATCAGCTTGATCTTTAGGGGTGATTCGTTGCAAGCAGAGATCATGAAAGCAGTGACCACATGATAAAACAGCAACAGGAGGTGGAGCAAGTGGCTGGGAAACAGGGCCTTCCGGTGTGTAGGAAAGATCCCTCTTGCATAACAAACAATTATATCCACTTAGTTGAAGAGGTTCTGTACCTGCAAAGAAATGCTCGTGATTATTACTTCTTTTCTTGTGTAACTTTTCATCATACTATATGATAATTAATGTCATCACCCGGACCAGAAAACAAAGTGGACACATTATGCCATTAAATATTTGCAGGAAAATTAGCCTGTGGCTAACCAAGATATGGAATATGGTGATCCAGTGTGATCAGCCTAACAGATGTGCAAATTAATTGGAATGTGGATGAATTAAACCACACAAATCCTTTTGTTGTGACCAAGCTGTTCTTGATAGCGTACACCATTAAACAAAGAGGAATGAAAGAATGAAGTTGCATTAAATAAAAAAAAATTGAATAAACAATCTTTTTATAATTGTAGTCCACAGCTTGGAATGAATACAGCACTATGAAGAGCATGGGACAGTTCACTATTATCACTATACATTGACCTGTTAAATAAAGGACCATAATAATGTATGATTTGAATGGCAAATGTGGCTTTATAAGTTAGTATAAAGTGAAAGCCTTGTACATTAAATATGACTGCCTTTCAGAACAAAAATAATAGCACGTGAAATCAGATTAAAAAAATGGCCAAGAAATACCTTGCCATTTTATATGGGGAGGAGGAGACATCCTAGCAGAGGGAGGAATGGGAATAGTCCGTACCAGTGGTGGACAAGGAGTGGCCTGGGATAATGATCGGGGAGGAGGACCTTTACGAGCTAAGGGTGGGAAAGGACGAGGTGTTACTGTTACAGGTGGAACAGAAGATATGAGATGGGCTATGGTTGGGACAGGTGCCGATGGAAGAGATGCAATGGAAAGAGCATTTTGTGCATTGTTTAAGGCAGATGAATGAATGGAAGGCTTCGCTGATTTTGTCCTTTCTGTTTGAACCTGAGCAGTAGCTGGAGGTAGTTGTGCTGCTTTCCTCTTGAGAGATGGTCTGGCTAGAAGGCTAGAAGTGATAACAGGTCCACTTCCCCCTGCAAATGGAATTACTTGACCTTTAAAAGGTAAAAGGTTAATTTTTTGGCAGTCAAACAAAACTTATATTCAGTCATTCTTCTAAACAACCTTATTAATTACCAGATGTATAAGCAGCAGCAAGATGATTATCGGAAGCCTGAACAGGATTATTTTTTGGAGATTGACCAAGATAAGCTGCAAGCAGTCATCAAGAGCAATTACATACACATCCTGATCAATTAAAAACATGACTTGGTCGATGGCCCAAAGGAGCCCAATCTTTCTTGGACTAGTTCCACTTATTGTATTAACCTATTTTACATCACCAACTGTGAATTTGTGTGTAAATAAGTTATAATAAACCCAAACATTATCAATAGCATTTTAGACAATAATTGATATGTTGCCAGGGAAAAAGGAAGATAAGAAAATGGTTCTTCATTTTTTCTATTAACAGTATCTTGATCATGATATGTTAACCATGTGAAACTTAAAATGCGATCAGTGTGCTTAACAATATCAGTCTTGTATTATCTTAGACCTAACATTGTTGAGGGTTTTATACAGTCCAAATCAGCCATGCAACCAAATCAGTATCTTTAGCCTCATGAAGAATTTATTATAACTGATGAATTATTCATTTTAACAATGAAATGGTAATGCAGAAGCATGATGAGTTGTCCTTACTTGCTGCTTGAACCCCAATATTGTTAGAAGATGGAACAATGCTAACAACTTCAGCAGCATTTCCATCACTACCACAAAGCTTATCTGCGAAGTATGTCAGGTACAGTTTCAACAAGGTTGCTCTACAGCAAAAATAATATACTTATTACAGTAATAAACACTAATCCTACAACTAAAAAGACTTCCAAATAGCATGCAATTCCTTTTTTAAGGTATTTCAGACTAAGAACTTTACAAACCAAGTTAGAAGCATGACATGAACTTGTAAAAAGCAACAATCACAAGGGGGAAAAATTCATTGAAGTCCATATGAATCTTAAGGCCATGAGAAGAAGCCAAGAATATCTAGTGAGATAAAACAACAAAACAAATAAAAAGCAGCTTTAGTTGCCAGAAAATGTCTGTTGCGTAAATAAACAAAGTAAAAAAAATGCATTATTTTAGTTATTAACAATTATTGTACTCTGCCAATGATAAAGAAGAGGCCGCCCTTGGGTGTTTGTACTGTATTATACCATTGCTGATAGTAAAAAAGGGGAAAAATCAACTACAATAATCTATGCAAATTCAAGTTGTAATGCTAACGTAGAAGCATGATGCATGATGAGCACCCTTACTAGCCGTTTGAAGTGCAAAATTCTTGGAGAAAGGGAAACTGCTAGCAACTTGAGAGGCACTTCTATCACAAGCAAAAAGCTGATCTGCGGTGGAAGTGCAGGCAGTATTCAGTACAGAAGCTCTAGAACTAGAACAGAAGATGATTATTTTAGTAATCAAACAAATAAATAAAAGTTTCCGGTACATAGAGTTCCTAGCTGAGGTGTTTGACACTCAGATCAAATATACCAACGTGACTTGAACTCGTGAAAGCAGCAGTCCCAAAAGGGAGAAATTTCATTTGTCAGAAATCTAAAGGCTACAAGAGGGGAATATGGGAATATTTTGTTATAGAAACATCCTGGTGTAACAAAAACAAGAATGGACCAACAGATCTAGTTGCTAGAAAAACTGTTTGTGCAAATGGTAAACAAACAAAATGTATCCCCTGTTATTTTGAGTTATTAGCAATTATAGTAGTCTGTCCTCTCCCCTCTATACATTATCCGTGCATCAAATTTGAGGATTTTAAATTTTAGAAATCAAAAAAAAGAAGAAGAAAAAAAGACAATTTTTTTCTTTGTTTAAGAAAGTTCTCTTGAATCATGATACTGTATCAGGAAACACTATGCAATCTCTAAAGTTTAATTGAGAAATACAATTACCAAAGATAATATTAATACTTTATTGTAAAATGGAGTTAATTTCCTAAATTGCAAGCCACTGTCATTTTCCAAAGCTTACCAATATTTTTCAAAGTGCATAAGAGTTATCTCAAGTGATATCACTTAACTCAGTTCACAAAACTCTCAGCAATCAGTAAGTCTCAAAAATTCCAAAAATTAGCCACACCCCAAAATCTTTCTTTTCTTAGTTAATTAACATTGAAGCAAAAACAACAATGCACAAAGAAAGTAGAAACGAGCAAGTACCAAATGCCCAATATGATATTAGTTCTTGAACTTCAAAAGCAATCTTGAACCACCTAAAACAACATGTAAAAGGTACAAATAGTACTTGTTTATTTAAAAAATAGAAAAACTAGATAAGGAGTTCATTAAAGACATAGGCACCCCAAAACCTTGATGGCGTAAAGTTTTTCATCTTTGAAATTAAAGCTGTGAACTTGCTAATCAGATATTGCCAAAACCAGAAGCAAACCCTCAGTTCCAAGAATGAAAAGTATTTCTTACAGAGTATCAGCTATGACAAATTGCTCTAAGAGCTGATCTTATGGGTTTTAAAGGATAGAAATAACAAAAATATGTAGACTTAAAGTTACAGTCACCTTAAACTTCTCCTGGTGCTGATGTTTTTAAGAACAATGAAGGCATTATGAAACTCCATAAGTTAAAACAACTAATTACTAAAAGAGCAGGTTTTCATTTTCCAAGGTAGATATGGATCTTCCAAACATGAAAATAGCTAAACTATATATCATCGAGAGGGTTGTCACCTAAAAAATCCACTCAGAAATATGACTAGATTACCACCTTTCAAAGCATGCAAGGAGAGACTACAGAAGCAATGTCATTTAAAAATTGACAGATAGATTTAGTGGGGTATAGTAAACAAGAACTGAAAGGAAATACATTTACCAGCTAATTGGAGTTCTATCCTCTTTGAAAATGGGGCATTTTCCACAGTTTGAATAGCAGCATCCTGGTGAGCAGGATAATGTTGCCATACATCTTCAAGTTCAATCAAAATTCAAAGAGGTTAAGCACTAATGGAAACTGTGAGGAAAAAAAATCGTAATTCTACATGTTTAGTAATCAATGCAGCAGATATTTATTGCCATGACTAACAACTGAGAAGAAGCTTCAGGTCATTTTCATTTTTCTCAATAGCAATCCCAACAGTATTTAATAACTAGTATTCTTAAAATATGAACATGAAATAAAAAGATTAGTCCTAGGATGAAGGGCTTGCTCTATTTCAACCTTTTGAAGTCCAGAATCTCAAAAAAGCATCAAATCATGTTCTTTGCACATCTTTTCAGTTCTAAAGGATTTACATTGTTCAAAGAAAATGTTTGGCTCAATATTGTTGCTCCACCCAGTTTATCAGCCTAGCAATATTTTTCTTGCTTCTATTGGTAAAATTTGATCATACAGCATTCGGAATCATGTTTCATCCTTACTTTAGAAGTAAAGGAGAATAGATTAAAATGGATTAAATGTTTTGCTCTACCCTACTTTGGGAGTCCATGTCAATAGGGAAGGTATAGGGTATGGAAGATCCTCGAATGTTATAAAAGATCATGGATATAAAGTAACCAAAAACTAACACTATCTATGTCAACTGCATATAGCATTCTTAATGAACTAAGTTCTTTGTATTTATGATATTTTTTTCTATTTTCTCTTTTTTATGACAAGTTAACTTAAATTCAAATATCAGCTGATCTATATTGTGCACAATTTTTATGCAAAAAAGGGGCTGTTGAAATATTTATAACTTACCTGACTGGCTGCTGGTGCTTTCAATGTTTCCAAGAACAGAAAGAACAGATGTCCCCCACTGTAAGCTCGGTATACTTCCCATATTGCACTTTTGTAGTTGATCAGAGGCCACAGCAGCATATTTGCTTGTCATAAAAGAAGATAATGAAGTCCAGGGAGCCATTCCGTGCTGTTCTTGAACAGGCAGGCCAGACTGGCGGCTACCATGCACTATTGGTGATGTACCAGAAAGACTATGAAAGCCTTGATTAGGAGGCAGTCCAGATTGGCGTCTAATATGCTCTACATTAGAAGATACACCAGAAAGACCATGAAAGCCTTGATTGGGATCTATATTTGCAAATCCAGCACCAAATTTCTGATAACCTGGTGAAAGAAAGGGATGTGGAAAATGGCTTTGTGGAATTGGTAGCATTTGCAATGGACTTAAACTAAAGTTGGAGCTAGTATTACCAGCAACTCCAAGATCATATTTAGAAAGAGTGCAAGCATCTACATTCTGCATTGAACCAGCAAATGAACTCATATTAGATGATTCACCTGCATTCTGCACTATACTAGGAAGTCCACGAAAATTATGTTTTAGACTGGATAATCCAACTGCATTCTCTTCTATGCTAGAAAATCCACCAGCATAGGTTTGGAAATCTGATAAACCAGCTGACATTCTGCACTGTTCTTGAACAGGCAGGCCAGACTGGCTGCTACTATGCACTATTAGTGATGTACCGGAAAGACTACAAAAGCCTTGATTAGAAGGCAGTCCAGATTGGCGTCTAATATGCTCTACATTAGAAGATACACCAGAAAGACCATGAAATCCTTGATTGGGATCTATATTTGCAAATCCAGCACCAAATTTCTGATCACCTGGTGTAAGAAAGGGATGTGGAAAATGGCTTTGGGGAGTTGGTAGCATTTGAGATGGACTTAAACTAAAGTTGGAGCTAGTATTACCAGCAACTCCAATATCATATTTAGAAAGAGTGCAATCATCTACATTCTGCATTGAACCAGCAAATGAACTCACATTAGATGATTCACCTGCATTCTGCACTATACTAGGAAGTCCACGAAAATTATGTTTTAGACTGGATAATCCAACTGCATTCTCTTCTATGGTAGAAAATCCACCAGCGTAGGTTTGGAAATCTGATAAACCAGCTGCCATTTGAAAATCAGGGGAGAAGGAATTTCCATAACCACTTTGACCATGAGATGGATTTAACTGCGTATTGATAGCCCCATCAATTTTACTAATGAAATCTCTGCTTGAATCCTTAGATTTTGACCTGGCCCCTGTATTAATTCCAACTCCTAGGGTCAGAAAACTTCCATCGAGCGTTTCTGGGTAATTAGATTGAACCACACAGTCCACCAAATTGTAATTACATCCCATTTCCCTACCATCTTGAGCACCCCACAACAAATGTTCCCTACTGCCACAGCTCATGGAGTTCCCAATTGATTGGGGCTTACTGTCATCCATTTTGGCACCCTGCATCTCCATTTGTAAATCTCCAGTATTAGCATCTATATTTTCAAGAGTTGAATACTGAGAAGGCATACAATTGATCCCGTTCATAAACTCAGGGTCAACCATGAAATTTTGATGGCTGTCAAGATGGGAGGCACCCGCCATCCAATCAATACCCACTAATGACATATCTCCCATATGAAAAGACGGGCAGTTTGACAACACATTTAAGGGCACATCAACAGTTCCAACACCACTTATCCCAGCACAGCAGACAGCCTCATTACTCAAACTTTGGAATCCAATTGCTTCAGAGTTTTGTAGTTGGCTATAGAAGGGATGTATCTTATCAACATTGTTCGACCTTTCATGTCCCATATTTATAGTCTGTTCCAAATTAAGGCAAGACATAAGCGGCTACAAAAAACTTTCATTTGTTGTCTACAAAATTTGAAACTCTTATATCTAGATCATCTAAGACAGACATTAAAACTAACTGATCTAACATATTTATTTATCTCTTCAACAAATAAATCAAATGGTAGAAAAAACCAGGCAGAAAAAAACTAACGAATTAAAAAAAGAAACCCTAAAATAAACCATGACAATGTAATTAGAAAACCAATTAAGTAGAACAATTGATTAAAACCTTGAAAATCTGAACCTATAAAACCTGAGAAATCATTCTAGGTGAAATTCAATTCCCATGAACACAAATTCTCAGCCATTAAAATCTTGATACTAAGGGATTTAACATATTATGATAAATTTGTATACTTATTTTTATTGCAAATTTTGATACAATCAGAAATCTGGTATCTGCAATCCATACGCCATAAAACCCAATCTCAAAAAAAAAAAAAAAAAAAAAAAAAACGAACAAAAAAGGCAATTAAAAATCAGTAATCACAGGGAAAAAGATTAAAAAAAAAGGTTGATTCCAACATGAAATTTACTAAAGATTAAACAGTGAGAGTAAATTTATTAAAAAAAAAAAAGAAAAAAAATAAAACAGAGAAGATATCATCTAATATTCGATCAATAATTATGAAATTAAAGAAAAAATTAAGATAAAATAAAAAGATCGAATAATTGAATATACGAGATATAGAGGAAATTGAAGCAAGAGAATTGGTAGCCTTAAACTCGAAGGACTCTTACCAGTAAAAAGCTAAAAGAGAAAGATTTTTTTTTGGGTTGGTTTTGGCGCTTAGGGCTCTTTAGAGTTTTTAAAGGGTTCGGTGTGGGTCCCACGTGTCTTATCTCTATTCGCCACGTTAGCTTTTCAGGGGCCCGCCTTCCTACCGGTTGCCCATCGATAAGCTCATTGCCAACACCCAATCGAGAGACGACAAGTCGTTAGATGGGTGGGGCATTATTGTTATTATGCCCTAAAATCATGGGTTTTTTTATGAGAAATTATCTTAACCTGAACACGTGGGTTAATCGGGCGTCCTGAGAACGCGAATAGTATTGGGCTTGGATGTAGCTGAAATCTCGCTTGCGCCTCAAGTAGATTTTCCCGCCTTAAAATGTGAATGGTGAAAGCGGTTGGGCTCGGCTCGGCTTAGCTATGTGCCTTTTTGGACTAGCTGACTAGATTCATACTTGGTTTCCACTGTCCACTGGGAATTTGGATGTTTTAAGGCATCAAAAAGTGGGTCCACTTCTTCGGTACGAGAAAAGAGAAAAAAAAAAAAAAAAAAGCCAAAACAAAAGCAGCTTTAAGCTTTGTTTATTTAAGTTTTATGTTTGAAGGAAAATGGTATGGAAAGTAGACTACCCTTTTTGCCAAGGCGGATGACACCATAGGTTATGATTTGAGTAAAATTTATCGTTAATCATTAAATTTATATTTAAATCTATTTTAGGTTATTGAACTTTAATTTATTTCAATCAGATTACTAAATTTTAATTTGTTCTAATTAGGTTATTAAAGTTTGTTAAGCATATTAAAATCAGTCACTCTAACAAATTTCATTCAAATTCTAATAAAAAAATGATATAATTATCATGTCATCAACATACCATCTATTATATCAACTAATTAAATCTATATAGTTTTATGAAAAATCATGAAACTTTCACTTAATTTTTAAATAAATCATTGAATTTTAATTTATCATTACAAGATTACTAAAATTTATTAAATATATCAAATTTCATCAAAAATAAAAAGCTAGATAAAATCTAACTATTAAACTCAATTAAACAACATTCAAATTTTTTACGTAACAAAAAACATCTCATATCCTCCAAAAAAAATAAAAAATTAAGTAAATTCAGAACAAGCACACCTTTCATGAATATTTATTTTTTTGAAGTATTATTATTTTTATTTAAATTAAAAATATAAATATTTAAATAAAAGATAAAGCTTTGATATTGAAAACCACATATTGTGAAACTTTACTCTCATTTGAACCATGTACCATACGAATTGGAAGACCCGGTCCAATAAATATAGTTTGGACCCAATGTTGACGAACTTTTGTGGCATTGAAGGGCCGAATTGGGGGCCTTCCCACGTTTAGGCTCAAAAGAACAACATAGATGGCTTAAGGGCGTCATTTTAAACTTGTTCAAAGTCTATTATGTCATCCAATTGCTGAATTTATGGGTTCTTGCATTCTCGAAGGAAAAGAATTATAAAGATGTCTAATAAAGAGATTTTTTAGTAGGATTTTTTATATGCTTTACTTTTTTTAGATGCAATAAGAATTCATTCATAATTTTGTGTAGTTGTATTTTAGATTTTTTATTAATGAAATGGAGAACTTTGTTTAGTTATAATTTTTTTTTTTTTTAATTTGGGTACGTATATTTCAAATTTCTTGTTATTTATTTTAAATACAAACATATAAAAATTTAGAGCAAAACAAAATGAGATGAAATATAAAAATAATATTATTAATTATTAAATATAATGAAAGAAAATAATCCATTCCCAACCGAAATATAATGCATTTCCCACTAATTTTGGGATTTTGCACAGAAATCTTTGATAAATCAATTAAACTTGAAAAATATAAAATATCACCCATCTAATTTTAAGTATTACCAACAAGATTTCGTTGAAAATTCTTGTATTATCAATGAAATTCCGTCAGATATTCTTGCATTATTGGTGAAAGCTATCAAAAAATATAAATTAAAAAACGGATAAAATAAAATTTGGAGTTTGAAAAATACAACTAAGCTATGTCACTACTAATTTTCGGTATAATCCGTTTTATTCTTTAATTCTCTTCATTTACATGTTTGCACGGTATGCAAATTAAAATATAGTGGTTAACATGTTATACTTGTTCAATATACAAAGTTATGCTTTGTTAATTTGGTGACTTTTTTAATTATTATTTATTTTAATTTGAGAAACAAAATAACAAAAACATAAACCAGAGAACTTTAATTTTTCCGAATGATATGTTGAGTCTTGAAGAATCTTAGAGATTACTCATCAGCAAATATATCTTGCTCAAATTCTTTATCTGACTTTTAGCTTAAAACATCTATGAAACCTTATTAGAGAGTACAATGTGGAAAGACTTAATTAAACACTAGCATTACTACATCAGACGCTTCCTACACTCTTTAACATTTGACACATTCTACTTATACAGCACATTACTTTTTTAACATATATGATTAAAGGAAGCTAGATAAGGGAATGGGAAGATAACTTTTTTCATGTATCAGCTGCTCTGTCTTCTCTATTTTTGGCCATTGATGGGGTGTTGGTGATGTTATCGAAAAGTTGACACCTCATCAGTGTGCCGCTGGTTGAGTACACGAAGTCAAGAAACTTGAGGGTCATTTTCAGAGTCTGTTATGTATATGACAGTACTCCTACTGATCCCATTTATCATCTGATCATCATCTAGCTGCTCGTTCTTTGATGATGATGATGGCCTTATTGGAGGAGTATGCGGTGCCAAATGGGGTGGTTTTGTTGGCGGTGGTGGTTTAGGAGATGAAATTGATATTATTCCTATCCGAGAAGGCGATGTTGATGATGATGAACTTGGAGGAGCTGGAGGAGGTGATCTTTTACGAAGCTTTGGACCTGATGGTATTATGCCTGCTGTGGGAGATGGATATAAAATTGATGAAGTTGAAGGAATGTGATTGTTGCGTGGACTAATTTCTATTTCATCATCACCGCAACTAGTTTTCTCAACCCCCTGCTCAGCTGGTGATGATGCAATTTGAGGTAGATTTCCAATCAAATCCCATCCAGTAGTATCAAATATTATTTGAAAAATTGAAGGTGATCTTCTTCTTATTTCCTTGATTGGCTGTGGGGATGATAGAGTTGAAGATGGAGGCAGTTGGCTTGAGGTTCTCCCAGCAATATTGACAATATTTATCAAGTCATTGGTCAATGAGATCTCTGTAGCATGCATGGACGCCAAGAGGGAATCATTTAAGATCAATTAGACATGTACAAATCAATTAATATTTATATTAGTATTCAAAATTAATTAATTACCTGGTATAACTCTTGCTTGAGCATCAATGGTAAGCAGTGCTCGAAAAACCAAAAAGAAGAAAGTGTAATTGAGACACTTCATTTTGGAAGCACTCGTCAATGTATTAATTCCACGTCCCTAAAGCGTTTGTGATATGAAGATTGAAAGTAGTGAGTGCAAATGAGGTGGTATTTATAGATTCATAAAATATACGTGTACTTTCTTTGTTACTATTATTTAAAAACAACAATGGTGTTAGGAGTAATTTCCATATAACCTAACCTATATCATTTAAAAAACAAAGTGAGATGCCTTTGAAGATGTAGGCACATGCCCAAATGAAACTCCGGTCAGTTTCTTTGTTCAAACTGTTCCATTTATTCCTGATTCATATTTTATTTTTTTTCCAAGTAGTTGGCTTGAGAGAGCTTGGCCAGTTATATAGGAGGGAACCAGTAAAGAACAAAGTAGTTGCAGATCTCGTGTCTGTATAAAAAGAAGAAACTCTTCTTCATTCTCAGGTCACAGCCAGTAAAGAACAATTGTTGGAGCTAACCAACGTTTAATACGGCTGGTTCCTTTATCTTATTCTTATCTACCAACTTGGTTGCCTATTTTAAATTATTAGTAGTGACAAAAGCATATCATATAGTCATGGTCCTTTTTTTTACTAATGTGAAACTTTCGGTCTGAGAAGAAACGAAGAAGCTGGCTACATGTTCATTGTATTTGAGTTAATTAGTTTTAAGTTTTAAAAATGAAAAATATTAGTATTGTTTCAACATTTTCGTCTTATTTGATATGACAATATCTATGAACTGATTTTAATATCCTCATTTATGAATTAATCAACTTTAATTTTATTGTATATTATTTTTTAGGAAGATCATATGTTAGTTTAGTTTGACTATTTAGGCGACTAAAAGGTCATCTCAGTCGTGATAACTCCATTAAAATCAGGAATAGACGACTTGAAGAAAAAAAAAACCTTAATAATTTTTTAAGTTAAAACTGTTCCTATGTGCATGAAAAGTAAAATAACAATACCAAAAGGTAAAGCAAAAGTATTAAAAGGTAAAACGAAAGTTCTTGAAAATTAAGATAAATGTGATTGCATTGTATTTGTGGTTATGAAACCTTTTTACGTCGTTTAAAGTTAAAACTCATTTATACTAACAAAATTGAACAAGGAAGAAACAAAAATCTTTACTGTTTCCTAGCTATAACCGTTGTAACCTTCTTCCTTGTTTTCATGTTGTCTATCATGGATGAAAACTGTCCTACATGTCACTGTTCACTTCATGTAACTGCTAGTTAAATTTTAGCTTCAATCGTTTCTGATTTCGTTACCTTCAGATTGAAATATTCTCTGCCTGAAACTGATAATCATCCCCGTTTTGAAGTCGAAAATATCTCTACTATTTACTAGAATTGTTTTTTTCAGCAATGATCTCACTCAATAATGTTTTAGGACATTAAGAAATCAATGGCATTGAATTTTACTTAATACCTTAATTATAGTGCTGAATAATCTGCAAGCAGCATGTAATTATAACCGTCCATGTCAGTCACCCTGCTAGATTTTCTCAAGTAAGGATGACCACTTTAGAGTTCCAACTAACTTGTATGTATGTAGATTGAGTTACTGGTGTAAAGATTTCGTATAAAATATTAACAATTAATGTATTTATATTATATTTTATTCGAAAAATTATAT